CGCTACTATAACATTATGATATAAGAATACAATGAAATAGGAATATAATATTATTATTATTTTGAATACTATATTTAAATCCTAACCCATATTCGGTTAGTTGCTTCACATGACTGGTTATTGTTGAAAAAAATTTTGTTTTCTAGTATAGAATTTCGGAATTTATTTTATTCAGAAAATTAGAAGATTTTTGATTAACAACCCATCAAGTGATGCGACTAACAGAATATTAGTGGTAAATTATAATACTTAATACAACTTACTCGTAATTTCTATTCATTCTATTAAGTTAATTTTCCAAGTAATTTATTTTATGTTTTTCATTATTGGCACCTTAAACTTTTATTTTTTTAACAACTAAAAACCTATTTATTTGTGATCCGAACAAATTTGTTATAAAAATTTTAATTTTCTTATTCAGCATCATATTAAGTCATATTTAAATAATTTATGTGGAAGAAAAATTTTGAATAAAAACTAACAGAAATTAACCGACCACCTACTGTAAGAATATTATGTAATTAAAAGACTGTCCTCGGAAATGTCATTTGTAAATTAAATATCTAAATGCAATTTAACCTAAAAACCAACAGATAAAAATCATTTAATTTAAATCTGAATTAATTTTTAAAATTATCAAAAATTTAATATATAATAATTATCGACAATTTGAAATTTTGTTGTGTAGCTAGGCTCTTCTTTAGATTTTCTGTTTCTGAATGCTATAATACAATTAATTTTGTTGTATTGCTGTTATATTAGAAAGCGAACATGCAAATTATTTTGAAAAAGTGTATTTTCTCTTCATATTGCCAAATAATATTATTGAATTAATGTATTATACATTTTTTTTAAATTAAACTTGTATATGAATTTGACATAACCTTAAAAAATTAATATTCTATATTTTTTTGAAAACTGTTATATCAAATTGATTACTTAAATAAAAGAATATAGTTTCTTTTTGTATTTGTACAATTTATTTATCTAAATGAAATCCTAAAATTCTAAATAATATATATTAGTATAATATAGTACATATGTATATAATTGTACTAGTAAATTAAATTTAATTTAATATATATTTATAATAAAAAGTACTTAGTAAATTTTTATATGTGCGTACATAATATGAAGTACATTTTAGTATACTTACACATAATAATATATAATAGTATCTTATATCACAAATTGTTATAATGGTTAGGTACAGTAAAATTTTCTATAAGGAAAAATAATAAATACAACTTTAATACTCTATAATTAAATCTAAATATAATTGAGTGTATAAAAATAATAATTGAGAATCATTTTGTAAAAGAGTTATTTAGATGAAGAAACTGAGATTTTATTGAGAATAATATGTAATTAAATGCATTTATGTATATACCACAGTGCTTTTATATATTTATATATAGTTTGTTCCTAAAAAATTATAAACATTTTCCGGAGGTCCTCTTTTTTTACGAGCGCATTACATTATATGTAATAACAATGTAATATTTCATCAAAACAATGTAATATTTCGGCAAATGTTAATTATTCGTCATATTTGTTATGCGTATATAATTTCAAAGGCAGTCGTATTTTAAATTTTATTTGATTAAAAATATTTTTCTATAAATCTAAACAAATAATTTGTTAATAATTTAGATAAGCAAGAAATTTTTTCGTCAAAAAATTTCATTTTTATATACATACAATTAAATAAAAAAATTTACAGTCTAATTGTGTATTTTGCTTTTTAAATCACATTTTATTCAATTTCAAATCAGAATTACTCATTTTTTTCAATTGGATTTTTGCATTTTTTCTCAAATTATCGACTGAACGTCTCACTTTACAAAACGAAATGAATAAATTTTGTATAGATTTTAGAAGAAATGAGATACACAATATACGGAATAATATTCTTCTCACTCGAAAATTGCATTATGCAAATATATGATAGTTACTCACTTTCTTCTAACTTAGGCCCTTAACAACTAATTTCAAAATTGTAATACCGTCGTAATGTAGAAATTTCGACTTTTGAAAATATTTGAGTATTAAATAAATTAAATACACAAAATAATAATTCTTACTTTATTTATTGCATTTATGCAAAATTAATTTGTTAAAATCTCAATTTTAACAGAAATGGACAGAAATTATTTGAATTTTAGCCTTGCATCATATTTATTAGGCTCTTAATTAAATTACAACATTAATTGGGAAAATTTAAAAATAAGTAACAAAATTCTCGTCTCATTAATTCGACATTTTTTATGAAACTCGTTTTTAGTTATTTTTCTTGTTGCATACGATAACACTTATTTTTTGTGTAATAGAGTTTTCATTTATAGCTATTTTTTGGTTTCCCCAAATTTTCAAACCAAAAATGCTTTCAAAACTAACTTTTCAAAAATTTGCAGTTACTGATTATTTAAAATGGCAGCAAATGAAATTTTATAATACCTTAACCTAAAAATAGAGAAATCAAATATCATTTTTAATAAACACGTATATTGTACAATTTTCAATTATTTTTAATTTATTTCTAATTTTTTTTTTGTGTAAATCATAAATTTATAACATTTTTTGTTACAATTACAATTTTAATTGTATTTATTTAAATGATTTTTACAATATTTCAATAAAAATTTGTGTTTACTAAACGCATAATTAGCAAATTATGAAATATTGCTAAAACAAAAACTAAAATTTTAGCAAGGCATAATAATTTGGATAATATTAAAATAAAAACTGTAAATAATTTACAGTTGTATTTACGAATTAAGTTAATAAAAATATAATTATAAGAAATTAATTAAATAAATCAGAGTATAAAAATGAATCTTTGACCGCTGGATTTCCTGATGTTTTTAAATTATTATTTTAGCATAAATTTATAATATTTAAAAAACAACTTATAAAATGTGTTAATATATATATGAAATCAATAAATTTGATTAAATTAATAAAATAATTAATAATAAATTTTAAAATTACAAAAAATAGAAAAAAAAGAAAACAAAATTAAAAAAGAAATAAGAACATAAAAATTTTAAATGAATTCTTAAGCAGACCAAATTTATTTTTTGGACAATTTGGAATACTAAATTTTTTGGATATGTATCGAAGGCAAAATCATTTACCCTATTGTAATGGTAATTTAATTTTTCATTTCAATTAACTGCTTTACAATCCGACAATCTTTTGTAAAGGAGTTAAAATTGAAAAAAAAAATATTATTTTAATTTTTTGATTGAATCAAATTTTAATTTAATTTTTAATTCAAATTGGTCATATTTTTCTAATTGAACAACGCACCGCTATTATTTCAGTTTATCCAATATACTTCAGTTTAGTATGAAGTTATTTATAATAATTGCATTTCCGTTTCTTCTGTTCTAAGGTACAAGTACACAAAATTTTGAAATATATACATACATTTATTGAAATATCTTTATATGTACACATTGGCGAATCAATTGTTTTCAATAATTAAAAAATCTACTAAAATAAATCTATTTCGCATTTACTGTTTGTGTTCTTTATACAATTTAAACGTCAGAAATTTGGCATATTTGATTTAATAAAAATTTGTTAAAAATTTAAATGTTTATGAATATAGTCCGTGTAATTCAACTTCTGTCAGAATTTATTAAAGCTAAAATTGCATATGCGATGACGGCTTTTAAAAATTCTCTTTATAACACATTGAAATTATGACAATTAATTTTACAGTATAGTGCTCAAAATATTAATTAAAAATAATTGAAAGATCTTATATCAGTAAATTTGAAATTTTTTCTTGCATTCGAACGTAATCTACAATAAATTCTTTTTTATGTGATTAATGGAGCCCTAACATTATTTGGTCGTATTGTATTACTTCAACTTTAATAGTTGTGCACTAGATATTATGGAATTTAAAGAAATAAAGAAAATAAAAACAAATCCTTGTTGAAATTAGATCTTATTTTGTAGAAATTATTAATAAAAATGATTAAAGTAATCAGTGCAGCTTTAAAACTAAAAATCGACTAATCTAAATAATATTGTAGTATGCATTAATGTGACAAAAGTATAACGGAAAATGTCAAATTAGAAAGAACATAATATACTTTCTATGTATAGTTTGAATTCCGTCGGGTTTATTTTTTTCGTCTTATATATTTTTTTTTTCATTAATCTTATTGGCTTTGTATTGTATAAAAATTAGTTATGGTAATCTTACTAGTCTAGATAATTTTCATGATCAAATTCTGGCGTAATTTATATTTTAATGGAAGTTAAAAATTAACATTATTTACAAAATTTGAAAACCTAAATTATTTCTAAGGAAGTATAAATTTAAATAAATCTGTTTTCTTAATAAGTACCCATCATGTTGTAAATGCCGACGCACCGCCTTTAATATAATTAATACAAGAATTGTATTATTTCAAGACAACTAAAATATTTAATTTTTTTTTTCGACCAATTAAAAAAATCTTGTATTTGGAAATTATTTATAGAAAAACTATTCATTAAATTGCCATTTACTTTTATTTGCCTTATATTGGCATTTTCTAATATCTTTTGAATTATGAATCAAAATGTAAATATGTATATAGTTAGTTGATATGTCTAAAATGACTGAAAAAAATTTTATATCTTGAATACCTACGGTAACACCATTGTAAAAATGTATTTTACTTGTACATATAATATTTTGGTATTTGCAACAGTTTTGGAAAGCAATTGTTTTAAAAATTTTTAAAATGCGGTAGAGTTTGTACTAAAAAGTAAAATCATTACAAAGAATAATAAAAATGAAAATTGTTAAAATATTTCATAAGACTAGTAATAATCTAAAAGTAAACCAAACGAAAATTTCATTGAAAAATACAAATTTTCCATTTTTAGCCACTAAATTGTTACAATAAACCAAAAATAAACCAATTTACTACTTTTAATATCACATTAAAACAAAATACCTTGTATTATTTATTAATATATTTACTTTATTGCAGTTTCTACACATGATAACGTTGGTGGATCGGAATATCAGGTTCAATATGTGAATCAAGAACTATACCAAAATAATTCCCAGAATCAGTCACAAATGTAAGTAAATTTAAAATAAAAAAGTAAAAAAAAACATACATATGTAAATGTATTTATTTTGTGAAAATTGAAATTCCTACATAAAATTTTTTACATTTTAGATCTTACCCATTTTGCGCAGTTGGAGATTATCAATCGGGTAATCAATCGTATTATGCAACTACTGGGAATTATACATCAGCAACAAATACCTCAACATCTCATACTTCAATGCCTTATATTGTTCCTGTAGATGAAAACATATTATTAGCTTCTTCTGCTAGTCGTGATTCACCACATAATATAACAGTAAATATAAATAAATTTGTTAAAACTGATCTTAAACTGTTATACACAATTTTTTTTTTAATAATAGGAAGTTTATATACAAGAAAATCATAACGCGCCACAAACTCCAACTTCAACTACAGCTAGCATGTCTGAAACTGATAATAGTCAATGTTTAAATCATGCGTCTAGAATTGCTCCTCAAACGGTAAACTTTTTCTTTTAAAAAATATAATTTTAAATAATTTACATCTATATCATTTAAAATTATTAGACAACTTGGCTTATGGAAAATTATGAAACCGCTGAAGGTGTTAGTTTACCTAGATCAACTCTTTATAATCACTATAAGCAACATTGTGAGGAAAACAAGCTGGATGCAGTTAATGCAGCAAGTTTTGGTAAATTAATTCGTTCCGTATTCACTGGATTACGAACACGACGTTTGGGTACAAGAGGCAATTCAAAATATCATTATTATGGGATTCGTGTTAAACCTGGATCAGCATTAACACATGCAATGGAAGAAAAACCAATTAATAACTATGCTGGAAATTCCAATAATATGAATATGAACAAAGTAAATAAAAAAAATGGTTCGAAACTTGAAACTTATGAAGCGTGTGCGCAGGTAATTTCTATCTAAATACACATTTAATAAAAACAAAATGTTCTTAACATACCTTCGTTTTATTTAGTTTCTGGGTGACGGAGCTAATGCTATACCAATTCTACCTAATATTGATTACGACGACACTATTTTAAATGAAATTACTATAGAAGATCTCGAAATATTCCGTTCAATGTATCGTGAGCATTGTGAATTCTTTTTAGAAGCAGTCCTTAATTTAGAATTTAGTACTATTGAATCACTTTGGAGAGATTTTTGGCGCTCTGCTGATAATAACAATTTAGACGAATGTGAGGAAGAAAAATATTTAAGTAAAGCGAAATTGTATTTAATGTGTCAAGGAGAAAATGTTCAAAAATTTATTAAAGAGGTAGTGCTAATTAATATGTCTCCATTTCTTTTTTTGCGTGCCTTAAAGTGAATTTCGTTTTATTTTTAAGGTGGATTATGCATTTTATCAAAATATGGTTGAAGTTTTAATTCCTGATGTGCTTCGTTCTATTCCGAATTCCTTGACACAAGCTATTAGAAATTTTGCTAAAAACTTAGAAATTTGGTTAAACGAAGCAATGGCTGGATGTCCTGAAAAAATAGTGTTAATAAAAACTTCGGCTGTATCAGCATTTTGTCAAACACTTAGAAGATATACCTCATTAAACCATTTAGCTCAAGCAGCAAGAGCTGTACTACAAAATCCGTCACAAATTGCACAAATGTTAAATGATTTAAATCGGGTTGATTTTCATAATGTACAGGTAAACTATAGCTTTTAAATAAATTAATAAACGAATATTAATATGTTCGTATATATAAATTTAAAGGAACAAGCTGCCTGGGTTTGTCAATGTGATACAACAATTGTGAAACGCCTTGAAACTGATTTTAAGGCAGCTCTTCAACAGCAAAAAACTTTGGAACAATGGGCATCTTGGCTTCAACTTGTTGTTGATTCAGCTTTAGAAGAATATCGCGGTAAACCGAATTACGCGAAAGCTGCTCGCCAGTTTCTACTTAAATGGAGTTTTTATAGTTCAATGGTTATAAGAGATTTAACACTGCGTTCAGCCTCAAGTTTTGGAAGTTTTCATTTAATACGGTTGTTGTATGACGAATACATGTTTTTTTTAATAGAACATAAAGTTGCAAAAGCTCAAAATACTACAGCTATTGCCGTAATGAGCAATAAATTGGTAAAGTAGTAAAAAATTTTTCTTGTTTTTTTTTTAATAAATTTTTATTGTAGCTAAGAGACAATGAGTTTGAATTCAATTATCCAATGGATTTTAAGCCAGAACAGCACCAAAACAAAAGGATTAAATATTAATCAATTTGTAATAGTTTTAAAAATATTATTTAATATTTAATTTCTTGTCATCATAATGAATAATATTTTTTTACTTTTTTGATATTTTAAACTATATTTTCTGTGCACAACTATTTTGAAATATTAGTAAATTAATAAGTGGTAACTAAGAAAGCTTCCTAGTAAATGATTTTATGCTCAATGATATTCAAAAATTTTTTAATATAATTTTTAAAATTTTTTTGAATCTTCGTATTTTGTAACAATTTATTTAAATTAAATATTAAAATATTTTTTTAAAACAATTGATTTGTATATACATAATTTTTTTTTTTTAATTTTCGAAAATTAATTTTTTCAATATTTAAAATCAAAGTATAGTTTAACACTATAGAAATTGTTGAAATTAAATTACATACAGAATGTAATTTTTATAAAGTTTTTTTTTTTATTTTATCAATATGTTTAAAATTTTCTTTGACAATTTTAAATGATCGCTATAATAGAAAGCAAATATCATTTTGTACATATATGTGTATTTTAATTTGAAGCTTGTACATAATGTAATTTTAACAAATAATATAACTTATGTGTAAACTATTTTAATTATTTTGGAAATCGAAAAATTTTATACAAAATTTTCTTTGGAAAATTTTATCTTTATTCCCTTTTAGAATTTTAAATAATTAATAGTGGCTACCAATGAATAGTTTTTAGTTTATTAATATTTAGAATTGTTTAATAAAAAAAAAATTAATTATAATACTTTATTAAATCAAAAAAGTTGTAAAAAGGGGTGTTCTTTTCGAATTGTTCGAATACTTATACGTCCCCAGTCAATAACACAAAACTAGAAAATAATTTATATTTTGCATTAACACCGTTTCCGTTTCTATCATATTTCTATTTGATTGATCTATATTTGCTTTTTTCGTTTTTTATTTTTAGCTTTTATCAAGAATTTTTATTGTTTGATTTTAGTTCGTATCCATTTTAACTTCAACTTTTAATATAAGACATCATTTCAAAACTAATTTAAACTTTTTGTTCCTAATTTTATAACTATACTTTAAACTTTAAAAATAAATTGTGTACATACCTACATATAAGTATAAAAATAATTGTATGTACATATAACGCAAATTTTAATATAAAATTAATGATAAACTATTCTCGCAATATGTTTTTAATTATATTACTTTAACTTCATTTAGATTTTTAAAATAAAACTATATTTTAGCGATTATTACATAAATATAACAATAAAAATTTTATTAAGTTTTAACAATAATAATATAACTTCTAAGTCATAGTTGTAATTTAATTTTAAATCCAAATAATTAAAATATAAGACTTTTCATTATGTAGAACATTAAAAATAAAAAAAAAGAATATAAATTCCTCTATTTAATACTATATATACCTATATTTTAATCGAAATCTGATTAATAAAAAAAAAAATTAAATATAAAAATATAAATTTAATTTTTTTATAATAATTTATGCATGAAACTTTTGTAATATGATTTTAAAATGAAAAAAAAAAACAAAGTGAAAAGAAAAACAAAATTTGTTGAGCATTTTATTCTTTCTTTTTATGTATTTTTTTTTTATTTTCTTCTTAATGTTGAATGGATTACAAGTACATGTATGTGTATGTGAAAAAAAACACTTATATTTTGTCAAAAATGTTAAATATAAAGGATAAAAAAAATAGCTACAATAATTTTTAATATGTAAATGGTTTAATTATGAAAAAGAAGCAAATACAAAAAAAAATTAAATAAACAAGATATTTAATTAATATATTGCACAAAAAATTTTGAAATGCAAAACTTATTTTGTTTAAAATATTTATAACTACAAATTAATAAAAAGTGAGTGGAAAATATGAAATTTCAATGTTTTTTTTTTCAAATTTCATATCTCTGTAATAGTTTGGATTATCTGCCTTCAACTTCTTCAACTAATCAGTAGCCTTTTTTGTATTTCAGTGGGAAAGTACGCTACTAAATTAGTCTACCAAATTTTTTCAAATGGCGTATTGTAGCAGAGTTTTTGTTCAATGTGTTTTAAATGTATTAACCGTAAAGAAATTAATAACAAAATTAAAAAATAAATAAAAACAGACACTACAGGTAAAAATACCATATAAAATTATTATATTATTAGCTGCTGTGTATATAAAAGTATTTCCAGCAAACTGATTCAGTTAACTATTTAAATTTAGCTGAAATTAAAAATACTGGTGACCACACTGTCGGCACTTCTATTAAAATTTGGGCAATTTATTGATGACTAAAAATTATGATAATACTTTACCTATTTCTAGAGAATTCATGATTTTCAGTGAATTGTGTATTAGTACTGTATTACTTCAATTTTAAAGTCACGGTATGATTTTTTAAAGTTTTCAATGTTTCCATTTCGTATCTGGAAATATGTGTTTTATTGTATATGCAAAAAATTAGTTACAAAAAATTTTAGATGCGACACAAAGTAAAATGTATCAATAAAAAAAATGTATTACATACTTATTTGTACAATAGATGACGTCTCAATGATACTAACTGATTGAATTTGTTTCAACCCGTTATTACATATTGACATACCCGTACCTATTTGCCTGCTAGAGGCAAAAGTACATAAAGTAATAGATACTCCGCTATTCTTTTTATTTAAAGAACTTTTAACCTATAAGAATTTAATGTCAGGGAAAGACAAGTTAGATGGCAGTAACAAAAGAACGAATCAGAAATCAAGAAGTTAAATAAAATTTTCTATTCTTGCAGTATTCGCACCAATGGTCTCACTGTTACTAGTGGGCGTCCTAGCTATCTTATGTGCATGAACATATTTCATTTTTACAAAATCTTTAATAGAAAAACAAACTTTTCGAGTTAAAAAAAATAAAAAGCATTTATGTATGTGTGTATTTAAGTATATAACTTCTTATTAATTTACATTCGAAGTTAAATATTTCTTAACCAATTTAATGATTCATCATTATCGTCAAATTCAATTTTAATTTTTTTGTGCACATCTTCGTTCTTTTCAAAATTAGATTCATTTACTTCACTTTTTTGTTTTTTTTTCTTAGCACTAGGCGTAATTTTCATATCCGATTTATCATAAACTCTCGATTTTTCAGCCTCTTTCAGACGATCTTTAATGTGTTTTGCTAAATTGATCTTTTCTTTATAGCACACTCCATGCAATGGATGCCTTTCTTTAATATCTTGAGGAAAAGGAACCCGAAATTTTTGTTTGCGTCCACCAATATCTTCTTCACTTTTTTTTATTTCTATTCGCTTTCTTAGCACCATTTTTCCTTGGATATTAATACATTTCAACTTTAAATTGCTCTGCTGATCTGGAATTACAAATGTTGATTTGATTGGTGAACAATTTTCTGTAATTAATTCCGATGAATTTAAAATTGTTTTTCCAGGAACTTTTATTCTAGTATTTTTCAAAGTCGTTATATCAAAATCTTTCGGACATTGAAAAAAATATACTTCATCATCCTCTGATATGTCAAACGAATTATTTATAATTGAAATCTCTAACTTTTCATAATCATTACTGTTTTTTCTCAAAAATTCTTCTATATCTTCCATTTTCATATATTGTCTTTGATTTTGTTTGATTGTTTACTAAAAATCGTGCCAAAAACAAAATTAATAAAAATACAATAACAAAATCAAACCATGTGTTCAACAAATCATTTAGTAGGGTTGTGTTGTGATACTTTAAATTACAACTCATAAGTTATTTTTGTTATGCGATACAACTTTATAAAATAATCTGGATTCAATGCTTTTATCATTATTACTGCTTACATTTTTCACTAAGCAATTAATGAATTAAAAAAATACTGTTTTAAACTTTAAACTTTCTTTTGTGGAAATATGTGATACCATGAGTGTAATACAGTCTTCAAACTTAATTCAAAAATTTATGTTTAAGCTGAATTCAGCGAATCCTGTCTGGGTTGAAGAAGATTTAAAAACTGGTTTGATTTTAATACTAATTTTATTAATTCATAATTTTTTCAAACAATTCATTTATTTTTCAATTCGCGATTTTTAGACGACTGTTATTGCAAAAATAGTGTGTTTAATTTAGCATGCAATTGCAAAATATATATTTTGATGTAAGGGGAATGATAAAATTAGCAAAATTTCATAATTTAAATTGGTTTTTACAAGGTGATTTGCGGTTGAATTAAAGATCAAATTCTTTTCTATAACTTATTTTCTCCAGCAGAAACAAAAGACTTTTTTATATCACAAATTATATTAGTGAAAAAAAAAATATTTTTTTTAAATGAAAAATTTTAATACATAATAATATAAAAAAATTCTCCGTGGCTTACATTATCGTGTTTATCACGATTGGGTTATATTTTTTTATAAAAGTAAGCAATCAACTCAACATGTTGGGTAATTCTGTCGTCTAAAAGGTGTACAAGAAAGGGTATCCTGACATATTATATCAGAATAATTTTTTTTTCAACATATTACAAATTAAATATAATTTGAAATCGGTCAAATTTTACTTTAATTCATAGATAACTAATAAATAAAAATATTAATTAAATTAAATAATTTTAAGGTGCTTAAGTCACTTAAACGCTGGTAACGTTTCTTATAGTTTGAGTCTTTGAGTGTAAATTACATGTGAACAAATGAGTGAATAAACTTTACCATTATACATATGTATATTATAATGTTTCATATTCTAGAAGTTGATGCTAATGTGTTGCTGCTAAATCAATTCCTTTGAAAAAAAAACACCTAAACAAATTGGATTAGAATTAAAATTTAAATACATATTTTTAATATGAATTACAGAACGTGATTAAGCAACAGAAAGCAAAGAAGAAAAGGTTTTAGCAGAATATTTTTATGTATATGGGAGCTGCATTAAAATTTTTTATAATTAAAAATTTAATGTGAAAAAGTGGTCAGCTAATACTGGAAATTTCAAGAGTTATCAAAAAATTATGTATGGTTTCCGAATTTCAATACTCTTGATAATATATTTAATTATACAAAAATGTGCTTCATCAAAAGTATTAGAACTGAGTGATAAATTTCTTGAAATTAAAAATGAAGGACAACAATGGTTGGTCATGTTTTATGCCCCATGGTGCGCTCACTGTAAAAGAGCTGAACCAGTTTTTAACCAAGTTGGACAAGCAGTTCATACATCAAATATTCGTGTTGGACGGTTAGATTGTACTAGATTTCCCTCAGTAGATAGATGTAGACAACTTCCAACGATACTATTTATCAAAGGAAATCAAGAATTCATCTACCAAGGTGATAGAACAAAAGAAGACTTAATAGATTTTGCTTTAAGGTTAACGGGACCACCAGTGCAATTAATTACAAGACCCGAAAGTATTGACATGTTAAAAGCTGCCCATAATTTATTTTTTCTTTACATTGGTCCTCAAGAAGGAATTCTCTGGAAAATATATCACTCCACATCGGAAGAATTTCAGCCTCATGGTTTTTTTTATGCTGTTTCAGAAAATTTGATAAATAATCATTTTAGTATTGACAAAATACCGTCAATTATTGTTTATAAAGAAGAAAATCACGATCATTATCCTCATGCTAATACAGCACATGAAATGGATCCAATTATAGTAAATGAAACGCTTTATGATTGGGTAAACTGTGAACGATTTTTAACATTCCCTAAAATTACGAGATTCAATTTTAATCATTTAATGCAGACAAAAAAATGGATTGTAATTGCTGTTGTTGAAGAAGATAAGCTTAATCAAATAACGACACATGAATTAGAATTTAGAAATTTAATTGAAAACACTATAAGAAAATACAAAAAAAGGTATCATAAACACTTTCAATTTGGATGGATAGGCGATCCAAACATTGCCCATTCAATTGTTATGGACATTATGCCGACACCCCATTTGATTGTAATAAATTCCACAACACATGAGCATCATATTTTTGAAGAGGACCCTCTTCAATCATCTCCGCATTCAATACATAGGTTCTTAGAATCAATTTATAACCAAAGTGCTCCAGTTTTAGGAGGTAATACATATAAAGTTCGACTATACCGCGCATTTTTTGAAGCTAAAAAGGCTTTAATTGATATGTGGATGGGTAATCCAGTCCTAACATTAGTTCTTTTTGGACTTCCTCTAGGATTTTTATCTCTCATTTTATATTCAATATTTTGTGGGGATTGTTTAGATGCACCAGAAGAAACCGAAGAACACGAAAAAAAAGAGTAACTTTTATAAAAATTTTAATGGAAATAAATAATTCTAGTCAATATTGTAAATTTAATTTTTAATGTTGTATGCACCTATATTATTTTTTGATTCTTTTTTATAACTTTTAAGGAATACGAATAGTTCCTGTCGAATAATTTGAGCTTTATTATTTATCTCGTAAGGAAAAAAAGACAGTTTTTTAAGGTTTCACTTATTTTTATTCAAAAAAACTTATTGGATAGGATACTTAAACTGTTAAAGTAATAAAAACATCCCGTTATCAGAAGAATCATCATCATCTTCCGATGTTATCAAGGGAACTCTATGTATATTTTCATAAATACCAATGTTAAAATCATCTTCAACACTTTTGGGTTTTGATTTCCTCGCCCGCTTTGATAAAACTACTTCATCATCTAAGGGCAATTCATTTTTCCTTGATCGATGCGAATACTTAGTTGAGGAAATCAAAAACCAATATTTGTTCAATAATGGTTTTAAACCCGGAAATTTTTTGATTTCGCTAAGAGAATCAGGTTGTTTCGAAATAATGCGCATTGTTTGAAATTGAAGTGAGACAGGTTGTGAAGTTGAATTTAGTAGCCTTATTGCACATCGAGAAGATGTTGAACAAACTATTGGATATATATTTGTGCTAGGATCCAATGGTATGTTTTTAAATGCAATACCAAGGGGCTTTCTGTTTAAATAAAATTCCAAATATCCATGGAAAAGATCCAAATAAACTCCTACCACACAACCTTGTGTTATTCGTTTTCCATAGTTTACAGCTATTCCGTTATGAGTTTTTACACCACGATACGAAAATCCCCACGATTGTTTATTACGCCCAAGCCCGCTAACAAACTTGTATCTATATTCATCAAATTTTAATTTATCAGTTCCAATTCCAAACATTTGATCAGTTCCAGATGGACTAGTAATTATTTGAATTTCCCAATAATGTATCATTTTTAGTTCCAATTTCTTCTCACCTCTGACAAATGCTGTCCCTTGACTGTAAATTGGGTGAAACGTTATATCACCTTTATTGACATAAGAATCTGGGTGAGCTGATTCTTTATGCCAAACCCATTCTTTACTCCCTTTTAAATATCCATCCTCAACACATTTGCATTTGCATAATTCATGTATATTCTTACTATTAAGCACATCAATGTTTCGCGGAAAATCACAATCGCAGAATGGTAGAGTCAAAAAGTTGGGGAAAATGTTGGCCGCGTGGAGGTCATCTATTTGCATTTTTATATTCCTATTTTAAGTTTATTGTTTTATCATATTTCTATATAGGCTTGGAATTTCTCAAGCAAAAATTCTTAACACATTTTGAGAAGCTGAAAAATGCCAAACACATTCAGTAGTCCTAACTTTTGGATATTGTTTATAAAAATATTAGTTAAAATTTTGCTTGTTTATACAAATAAATTTGTTTTTGTTTTGATTCTTTTGACTTTATTATTTGTGTCACTTACCAGATGATGCCAATTTAAAGCATTTTACAAAAATACAAACCGCAAAATACAAATGTACTGAAATTGTCAGCAGCAAATTAATTGGATTTTATTTTGTTCATATTTTGTGACATTTTTGTATAAAAGCAATTCCAAAATAATGTTGAATTGTTTGCGATATGATTTTCATGTTTTGTATTATAATTCCATATTTATAACTTTTAAAAGGAAAAGAAGGTAGAAATAAACAATAAAAGATCATTCAAAATTTTAAATGAAATTTAACATTTAAACGCTTAAAATTAAAAAAAATTAGTTTAATGCATACTTACTAAAAGAAATCATTTGCTGAATAAAAGCTTAATAAATGATAAGTTTATCTTATTAATAAAATTCAAAAATTTTTAAATAACTTTGATTTTATTCAAAAATGACATAATTTAAAAATCTTTTTTACTTGTCTGTAAACCTAACTTAATAAAAAGTCGTAATTTACGACATTTAAAATTGAAAAATTGAGTACGTATACAACTGTCAAATGTGAAATAATACTGTTTTTCTAAATACAGAAAAATAATTTTAATTTTATTTTTGAAAATTTTTTTGTTTTTTACTATTTGCTTTATAAGTGAGTAAATTTTTTATAGTTTGAAATTTTTAATTATTGATATAAAATAAGATTTCAATATTGATAATTAAATATTGTGTTTTTTAGCAATTAATTTTATAAAAACACCTTATTTTAGCTAGATTGACGAGCCATGGACTCGCCATTACCTACAGAAGATATAAGCCTTTATAATAGTGCTCTAGAAAACTTTACATTATCTTCTATTGATACTGAAGGTGATATAATAATATAAATTTTATTTTAATAATTTTCTTTGAAAAAATATGTAATTGTAGAATATACGAATAATAATACCACCAATGGTTTAACCACCGATTTTGCTGACTTAACTTTGAATGGAAATGATGATGATAATACTATGGATTTGAATACAAGCTCAACAACAAATTCATTGCAATTATCTGATAGTTCTGACTGTTTAGAGGTGGATCCAAAGTCGCAATTAGCTAATAAGACAATATTTAAAACTGATAATCCGAATTTGTCAATTATTGAAATAAGTGATACATCTACAAAAGAGGAAGAGAATTCTGTATATCTTATTGAATCTGATGGTGATGATGAACATATAAAAAAGGTTAATGCTTTACTACATTCCAGTAAACAGAAATTGAATATATCTAGTGAAAATTCTAATTCAAGTAAAAAAAGTGAAATAAAAGCTACAAATAGTAGTAATGTTGGTCCAAAGTTAGTAAAACAAAAAAATATCGAAGAAATAACGAGAAATCCTGCATCACAAAGGCAAATTAAAATATATGAAACAATTGAGGAATTCGAAAAAAATTTGCCTCAAACGGTAACAGTTTTGACTACACAATGTGGAAGTAAAGTATATTTGGTTGGAACGGCACATTTTAGTGAAGAATCACAAGACGATGTTTCATTTGTAAAGACCTATTTGATTCCTTGTGCTGTGCTAATTTTTATTTTATTATAGGTAATTCGAAATGTCCGGCCTGATATTGTTATGGTTGAATTGTGTCCCTCTCGAATCCACATTTTAAAGCACGATGAGAAGACACTTTTAGAAGAAGCAAAAAATTTTAATATGGCAACGGTAATAAATTAAATCTGTCATATTTTCTATTAAATAAATAAATTTAATAAATTTTAGATACGCAGTATTATTAACACGAATGGTGTCGTAAATGGCATATTTTTCATATTATTGCTTCATATGAGTGCACAATTGGCCAAGGAACTGGGAATGGCACCCGGAGGTGAGTTTAGGCGCGCTTTTGACGAAGTAGTGAAAATTCCTGGATGTATGTTACATTTAGGTGACCGTCCAATTAACATAACACTTCAAAGAGCCCTGCGAGCACTTTCTTTATGGCAAACAATAAAATTAGTTTGGCGTTTAACATCTACTGAAAATATAAGTATTGAAGAGGTTGAAGAATGTAAGCAACGTGATTTGCTTGAAAAACTCATGCAAGAAATGGCTGGCGAATTCCCGGCGTTTAGCGATGTGTTTGTTAAAGAACGTGATTTGTATTTATGTCATTCCCTACAAGTAGCCGCTTCACCCCAACTTACTAATGGTGTACCAAGGCCAGTCAAAGTTGTTGGAGTTGTTGGCATTGGACACGCGGCTGGTATTGCACGAAACTGGGAACAGGTTGATCCTAACGCAATACCAGATATATTAAAGATTCCTCCAGCTAAATTAAGTACAAGAATTTTTAAATATACCATTAAATATGGTTTTATATGTTGTTTTGCTTATGGAATATATAAATTTGCTCGTCCGAAATTGGTTAAATATTTCTAATGTAAGGCCGCTTTCCAAAACTAAGGCGGGCATATTCCACATCACATATTATTGAAAATGTAAATATGTAACAATAAATTATTTACTGTAATACTTATATTACTTATACATTATACTGTAAAAATTTCATGTTGAGAAGACGATTGTTTAACTTTTGAGACAACTATTTAAAAATAAATCTATTTTGTTTAAATCAATGATCTAAACAAAGTAGAATGAACAAATTTCGTTTAAATTAAACTTAGATTTGTAAATTAAACATTGTGAAAATGTCGTAAATAAAAAAAACCACATGTTATTTGAATATTGAATAACTTATTTTTGGAAAAAACGTTTTAATAACTGCTCATTTTGATATTATCACAAACTTTTAGCACATCGAAATCCCAGATTTCCAGCAGAGCTGTCTTCTGTGTTCTGAGATCTGGCACCACATCGATACCTATAGCAATAAGATTTATGACACAAATAAGATCCACCTTTTTTAACTCTGCTTTGAGGGTCTGATTTATCACCAGAATTCCAATTATCTTGTGTCCATTCCCAAACATTACCTATTATGTTGTGTAAATCATAAATATTTTGGGAGAATTCCTTAGTAGGACATAAACCAACAAAACCATCTTCCCCGATATTTTCTTCTGGAAATTTTCCTTGCCAAATATTCATTCTAAAAGGAAACATGAAAAAGTCTAAAATACATTCCTGCATATATTTTATACTTATGCTGATTATTGGGCATGAGCTTATTTCCCCATGGAAACAGTCTATTTTCTTTTCCACCTCTACAAGCTACTTCCCATTCTGCTTCGGTTGGCAATCTTTTCCCTAACCAATTACCTAATAAAAATAAAGTTACGCTGTTAAACTACATTAATTCTACATCTGTTATTACAATAAGCGTTTGCATCATTCCATGAAACATGGACTACTGGATATTCTTCAGATCCTGCAATTAATATATGTATTTTAATGAAAATATTTTATATTTTATGCAAGAACCTACACACTAAAAAACTTATTAAGTACACATACCGTTCAAATTTGATTCTGGCCCAAAGGGATGTTTCCAGCTCGTTCCATTTATTTTATACCACCATAAAGCATTAGCAACTCTAAAGTCTTTGTACAGCTTTTTCACATTTTCAGATAAGTGTTCTTGAAATATGAAGCTATCGCCGAATTTTTCAGCCTCAGTTGTATATGAAGTTTTATCAACAAATTTTTGAAACTTTAAAAAACTTATGATAGCGTTGCTTTTTATTTCTAGCTTACCATACTGTTAGATACTTCGTACTTATCTAAATAAAAGTCACTTAATTTAACAGTCTTTTGCGGGTACTCATTATCTTCCACAAATATTGCATCTTCCTTTTTACACCCTATTGTATACACGCCTCCTAAAAGTGAAATGATATTATTTTGTTTTATCCTAATAAAATATTTGAAAAGTTACTTACCCGGAATAAGTGACATGCCCTCATAAACAGGTTCCTCAACTTCGTTCGTGCTAATTTTACTTTCGATTTTTCTCGCATTTCCATAAATTTTTGGATCTCTTTGCAAATTATTGCAACCACAATCTAGATGCACTGTTATAGGTAAGCTAAATAAAAATATTAAATAAAGGATGTTCATTTTTGATTAATACGTAAAGAAGCCGATCGGAAATTTCAAAACATAAAACAAACAAAATACTTATATGTGTGTATATATATACAAAATGTAATTCAAAATTCCAAATAATGAGCTATGAAAGTGTGTAATATGTGTATTTATGGTTAGGTTTGGGTTATACATATGTATGTACATATTTTATAATTTGATTTGACATTATTGCCACCAATCAAATTTTCATTGTCAATTCACTGGCCGCAGAAAAACTATTTTCTGCTTACTCTTAACTGTAATTCACCTAGAATCTAGATGGTATTTTAGGGTCATTTTTACCCAAAATTAAAATGTCTATTTTTCCAAAAACTTTTTTAAATTTAGCTTTTATTATATGCATATAGTAGTTTAAACAAGAAATATGCTTTTCTTTTTCCTTGTTTTTAATTAAAAAATATTACATTTATAAAGAACTACATTTTCTAAAGAACTAATATAATAAAATACGAAAAAAGAATTTAACAAATTCATAAAATTAAAATTTTATGACCAACATTTTTGACAAACAATAATTCCATGAAACCTTTTCACTAAATTCCGAAAATTTACGTCACCTATCAATTCTTCTTCTTACAGAAAGTATCATTTTGTTATCATCTAATTCATTTCCTTAAAAATTTGTTAATTCCCCTAATTTGTATAGCTACATTACTTATGTATTTATAGGTACACTTATGTAAACTTTCTTAAACACTCAGTGACTGAAAAAGTGATGAACAGTAGAGAACGTAATACTTATCTACTATTTAAAAAAATCTAACCTACCAAGTTTTAAAAAAATGGTCTCACCTTTATATTCTATAGCTTAATTTTGGCCGCCTCAATGACGACAATTTAGGCATTTATTTAAAATATTTTAATTTAATAAATTTTATAACTCAATCAAAATATTTTTAATTGAACATTTTATATTTTATATCATTTCTCTGAAAACAAAAACTTTGTTACAAAATTATAAGTTTCGATAAAATACATAAATAATGATAAAAACTTAATTTCATTCTTAAACATTTAAAAATACAAAAACATTTTATTTATAATAAAATTTAGAACGCTCTTTTCGCTGCAATAATTGTTTTGATGTTTCCCTGCAATTATTTGTTGAGGATAATGCCTGTTGTTTAAATTGTATAACTTTTTCATTTATAATCCCATACCCAAATGGGGTAGTTTTAATTTTTTTAGTTTTAATAGGAACGGCATAAAATTCTGTGAAAACCGTCTCATTTTGGTTTTTTATTGGATTATAGGTTTCTTCAATAAATTCACCGGAACTGGACCATACAGTTTTTGGTAAAACATTAACTGGCTCATCAATAATTTTACGCTTCGACTTTTTATTCAATTTTAATTCAGGAATTTCTTTTTGACCCGCAGAAAGAATATTACGGACTTTAAATCCTAAAGGTGTAATAGGGCTTTCAATGAATCCACTTTTTTGTTTTGAAGCGGTAGGTGTTACAGGTTCTTCATAAACTGTACCCGTAGGCAATTCTATCTTAGAAATTTTTCTTTTTCTGGGAGTTATCGGTTCTTCCACGAATATTCCAGATGGTGTGGGAATCAACTTAGATTTTTGAGAACTGTTTACTTTATATTTTTTAATATTAATTTTATTATTTTCATCTTCTTGGTCCGTTTCATACTTTCTTTTTAATTCATTTTTCATTCTTTTTTGTGCTAATAAATGAAAGTAGCATCAGTTATTTAAAATGAATATTTTTAATCAAAACTTACTCTTTACTGCTGTTACGATTTCTTTCTTTGAAATGGCATCTATAACCTCCATAGGAAGCATTTTTTCCTTTTTAATATTCTCGTTAGAAACACGAGCTTTATTCAAAAGAACAGCTGCGTGCTGTATTCCTTTGGAAATAGCTAAATTATTGAATATATTTCTTTTATTTAGCATCTTCTTAAGACTAACTGAAATTTACCTTTTTTATTTTCAATTTTGATTTTATCGCCATCTGTTAATATACCTTTTTCGTTCTCTTTTGTTTCCTCTAATTTTCTGTTTGTTTTTGCTTTACTTTTCAATTCATTCTAAAAGCATACAAAAAAATAATACATTCTAGAAATAAAAACAAGAATAAAAAATTATTAACCTTCTTTTTTTTTTTACTTTGTAATTTTGCCTCATAAGCGGCATGTAAAATATCGTTGCATCGTTTAAGAATATGAGATATATTTGCGCTTTTTGAATTGTCCATTTCCTCAGTTTTTTTAATATTATTTTCTTCGAGAAAAGAAGCCTGTTTACTTTCTTTTTGGTCATCATTTCTTTCTGTATTAGATAATTTTTTCGTTAACTTCTGTTCAATTTTATTGTCAGATTCAGAATTTCTGCAAATGTTTGAAACCGATAAAGTCTCATTTGTAATTTTCAGCTCCTCCATATATGAAGAATGCAAATCAATATCTTCATCGGGGCTTTCTTTTGCGTTGTTTAAATTAGATTTTTCAGAATTAGTGTTATTTTCGGTTGCTTCTCTTACATTTAAATCATGTGATTTAAAATTTAAATTTAAAGAACTATTTTTGATCTCATTTACTTCCTTCTGTTCTTTGAAATTGGTTGTTAAAATCGAATCCCTGCTACTTTCCTTTTCGCTATGAAATTCAGTTTCAGAGCTAACTTCTTTTTTCTTATCAATTTCATTTTCCATACTAATATCAATTTTTTTAAGGGTAGAAGTATTTTTCGATTTGTTTAACTTATTATCCTTATCACAAAAATTTATATTTTCTTCTTCACTTTCACTTGAAGATTGATCTGCAAATTTAGTAACATCTAATGTCAATCCTGTCAATCCCTCATTATTATTCAAAGATTCATTAAACTTATTTAGTTTGGAATCATTTGTTGTTTTTGGGGACTTTGAAGGAGTTTTGCGATCTATGTTTTGAAAAAAATTACAAATTAATATGTAAATAATTATGTAAATAGGTGATAAAAAAAAATTCAATTTTCTAATGGTTTTCAATATTTATGGCTCAAAACTAATAAATGGAAACAGTTAAAATAATTTTTTTCAAGTTTTAAGTTCTATATCCGAATTCAGTAAAAGAATAAAACTTTTTTGTGCATTAAGTTTGCGAAACAAAAATAACTTTTAGGCTCAATCAAGTTAATATTAAAATAATAAATTATGAAATACCTTTTGCGTTCAAATTTTCTTTAAAACTTTCTTCTGTAATGTTAACATTGCTAGATTTTCGAGAATTTTTTCCAAGTTCAACTTCTTTTACCTCTTCCCCTGTTTTAATATTATTCTCATCAAAACAATCTTTATTTTCTGAATTTTTACTACTACTGTCATTCCACTTTCCAGAAGTTTTATCTTTTTTCGCACTATTTGTACGATTTTGAATGTCGTTATTCGATTTATTTAAAGATTTTTCAATATGAGGTAAGATTTCCTCACTCTCAGAACTTTCATTACTTTTTCCAAAATTTTTGAATTTATTTTTTCTGTATAACTTGCCTTTGGAAGGTGAATTTAATAAATATTCTTCTGGATCTGTGGATAATAATTCATTATTTTCTTCATTATCAATAAAAGAATCGTCCTCCTCAGCCGAATCTTCACTACTTGATTGTGTTGTATCTTCACTTCCTAAACTTATACCCCTCTCTTGAATTTCATTTTCTTCTAAATATTGACGTTCTTCATCACTTAAAGAACCTTCATTACTACTTTCAACAGCTTCATCATCTATGAAAACATTTTTGTCATCCTTTTCTGTATCTAAATACATATTTACATATTATAATTTAAAATTTGTTTGTTTTATATTTTAATTACCTTTGGAATTTTCATTTTCATCATCAAATTCAGTGCTCTTTTGTTTCCATGATTTTTTTCCAATTTTTGAATTATTAGGAACAATTAGTTTTTCTTCTAGGCTAATACAGAATTTATCAATTTTGTCTTTTGAAGTACCTTTTACAGACTGTGACCATGATTTAGAAAGTTTGTTGGTTTCCTGTATATTCTCAATTTTATATTCTGATAAAAGGTTAGTTTTCTTTTTTGAGTTAACACTAATTAAGGTATTTAAAGGTGTACTACTTGCAATTGAACTTTTTTTCACGTTGTTTGGGCTTTCTGGTATTGTTTTTGAGGTGTTCATATTATCAAACAAGCTTTGTAATTTCTCATGGTTGCTGGTTATCTTATAATTTTCAAGAGTATTTAATTTTGTAGGGCTATCATTATTTTCAGAGTTTGTACTTCTATCTAGAACTATATTTTTATTTCTGCATGCTATTGGTGTCTTGCGAAATTTACTATTATCTCTTTCAGAATTTGAGCCACTATCATTAAATGTGACACTTTTCATTTTAATATCTGTTTCATTTTTATCTTTTACCTGATTCTGTTCACTTACAAGTATCTTTTCGTTGTGTTGATTAGAGTTTACAGATTTATCTCCAAATTCGGGAGATGAAAGTTTAAATGCAAAACTTTTGCTTATATTATTTTCCGTAATATCTGTAGTACTACTTGTATTCTTATCTAAACGGTTTGTAAGAGTTATATCTTTTAGAGTTGAACTTTTGTTGAAGTTATTAGTCTGCTCCCCGTTTTCTTCATTCTCTTTAGAATAATCTAAAATTTAATAAATATTTAACTTATTTGTGATGTAATGAATTCCTTTACCATTGTTTTCGACATTAAAATTGCTTTCAGTTGAAAATTTATCATGCTTCTTTTGACCGAGCTGTGACGATGGAACTACTTCTTCGCTCTCATAAGATAAGTCTGCAGTTCCTTTGCTTGAAAACGAATTTTCTTTATTTAACGAAACCTTTTTACTCGCAGTATTCGATGCAAAATCTCTACTTTTTGTTCCAGGGCTTTCACAAATTGACATGTTTTGCTGCAATTTTATTGAAGAGTTTGAATTTGATATAGAAGTCTCAACATCAACAGATTCTTTGTTTTCGAAAGTTGTTTTATTCATTAAATCATCATTTTCTTCATTTTTCTCACCAGTTTTTGTTTCATTTGAAGTTGTTTCCAGTTCTTTTGTATTATTCATTTCATTGGTTATAAAGTCTTTATTGTAATTAACATTATTTTCTTCTGATATTTTAGGTGATGACATATTTTTTTCAGACATAGAAAGCTCCTCTTCACTCGTTTTAGATAAAGTTTCATCCTGATCGTAGTTATTTGTAGATTTGCTTTTTAGATTCTTTAATTTTTCTACTTTAATAAGAACCTTTTTTAATTTTTGTTTCGTTTCATTATCTTTGCCATTATCTATAGCGAGCTGCTCATTTTCTTCGGCTATATCTGGTATTAAACTTCTTTGAAGGTTTTTTTTTGCTGAACTAATATTTTCATTTTGCTCATCGGTGTAAGATGTACTATTTCTGCGAGTTCTTCTAAGAGGAGTTCCCGTTAAAGCTGGTGATGAGTTTACATCAATTGATCTGCGACGTCCAGAGCGTGTAACGGATGTTTTCTCCGTAACGGGAGTTTCGGATTTAATTTCTTCACTCAGTAAATTCTTACGAGTTGGAGTTTTAAGGATATCTAGAAAAGTTAAACAGTTAGTTAAATAAGCTATATGTACATACATTCATATGTATGTATTTGATGTTGTAAAAACACCTTCTTTTAAAAATTGAATTTCTGATGTTTGGGAAGAGCCACTATTTATATCCACATCAATTGAATTAAGGCGGCGTCTCAAAGATCTAGTTACTGGATTTAAAAAAAAATTACCGATTTTTTGTTATTGCTGTCGTAATTAATTTAAAACATATTATAACAATTAACAAACCTCTTGCACTTGATTCCATCACAAATAACTATTAAACATAAATTTTTTGAATTTCTAACAAATACGTTACAACACGTGTGATCTCACAAGCGCAATAAAAAGTAATCAAATACAAATTGACATTTTAATCTCTTTAAGCTTCAAATATATAGCGACAAGCCTCAGCCAGCATTACCATATCGATTCCACAGAAAATCTGGAAAAAATAGAAACTGATAAAAGATCAGCTATTATATATAATTTAAGCATATTTTTATCAATATTATAAAAGCATGTTTAAGCTTATGTTTGTCAAAAGCTATTCTTATTCGAGTTTAAATTAAAAAAAAGAGCTTGAATCTAATTATTTTTAAAAGTATAATTTTTACTGATTTGTATTTTCTTTCTGTTGATACTGTAAGTAAAAAAAAATTAATTATTTTGTTCGTTAACTATTTTTAAATTTCGTTAATTACTTGATTTTTTTAACCAGTTCTTCATTTCACTGTTGGCACAAAATTGAATTTAAAATGAAACTTGTATATCCGATCAACCTTACTATTAAAATATCAAAATCATTATTCAATTATTCAAGAAGGCAGTCGCTGTCTGTCGGAATTCACAATGTAATTATTATACAGCTTCAGCGTCATCTAGGTGTCAATTCTTTTAATATAAATTTCAAGTCTAATATCAAAACAGGACACTTTATGTGGTTCGTCAGATTTTTGCCAAGTAAAAAATCTGGCAAAGTTAAAAAAATTTGGTATTTTGGGTAAGACCTTTAAAAAATCTGGAAAACCAGATAAATCTGGTAATATGGAAACATTGGCCATAGCACATTGACTCCATAGTGCTGCCACTTTCGTTCATTAGAGCTCATTTGGAAATTTAATTAAAATGGCTCTTTCTTTTTTAATTTACTTGCTCTATATAGACCCCCAGGGGTCCATGAAGACCTGTTACGGGTCTTAGAAAAATTCAAAAACACGACAAGGGGTCTACGAGGGGGAAAAATTATAATAAAAATCTGAATTAGACTAATTATGTTCAGATCTGAGCAATGGTGCAATGGTTATGGCACCGTTCCTCAAACTGAAGTCTATATGCTGAACTGAAATGTTTCTATATGCTAAAATTAAAAATTTAATAATAATTCTGGTGCAAAAAAAAATCGTTCAGGAGACAAGGTTATTATTTTTTACTAAGTTAGAGTTTAAAACAGAGGAAGGGCGATTTTCCGCGGCGATATGTACATTTCATAGAATACATATATTTAAATAGAACTTCCCAGAATGAAGTGAAATTACCCTGCGACTTTAACCGCAGGCGACAAAATAGCCTGAATTTCTATTTTACCGCTACCGACTTTTTTTACATCATCTGTTTCCATTCCGCTATTGTTCGGGGTTAATAAAGAAAATCATCCATCGTTGTCGGTATTGTGAGTCATTTTTTAATTTTTATTTTGTGAATTATATTAATATACAGCTGATATGAAGTTTTTAACAGTTTTGAAACCTAGAAAATCTCGTGATAGAGGAGTATTCATTGGGTAGCTGGTTTTAAATTGAGCTAATTTTTGTGTTGATGGATGGTTCATTGGTTAATCTGGAAAGCTTTTTTTTATTTGATACACTATTTTATATTTTTCTACATGAATAGTATGTAATGGTAATATTATAGGATTCAAAATAACAACGAACCCAAGACGAGGGTTTTTTAACAAAATTTAAAAAAACCTCGCATTTAAGCTTTATTTGACTCATCTTTTTTAAAAAAAATTATAAAAAGTTTAGCTTTACTAAAAACGAAGAATGTCAAAAACTCAAATTGTCATACGAAATATATGATCTCTTTGCAAAACCAATGAACAAATATTTTTTTTAATTTCCCCTAATTTTATTCGAGGTATAATATTTCCAAAGTTGTGAAGAAAGCAGTGGTTTAGTTTATTCAATTTTTGTTAAGGAGCCATTCCGAGTATTCTTTAACTTAAATTTAGGTTAGGTTAATTTAAATTTTTGGTTGATAATTTAAAAAAAAATAGTAAATGTAGTACTTGAACTAGAAATCTCTTCCCTAGAATGAAAATTGACAGTACATATTTCAAGTATAAAACCCATGTCTATTTCACTCTGTCTATATTATGCTGTTTCAGCAATTTTGCATAGGGTATCAATAAAAGTCAGGTATAAAGAAGGTCAACACAGGGGTTAAGAATTTTTGTATGGGAATGCATTTGTTACGACTGTCATTTTTATGTTGTAAAAAGTCAAATTGAGTTAGCGAAAAGCAAATATTAGTGAAAAATTGAGGAAATATTTATTGTGATAGTAAATAAAATATAATTGTTAAATAGACTAATTTTTTATATTATTAAAAACAAAAAAAAAGTTGAACTTAAGAATGGAAAAAGCACCAGTTAAACAGTATGAACAGTAAGTAAATAAAAGGGAAGGTTAAGAGCCCTATCTACTCTATTTTATACACGATATACTTATAACACACACATTACAAACTGAAAAATCTCATTTGAAAACGTGTAGAAGAATATTGTATACATATAAATGCAAAATTTGTTTGATTTGTTTAGAAAAAGTTGGCTTCCAATTGATGATAGTGATGATAGTGATGTAGATGAAATCGATGTTGACAAATTAGCTCCACTCGAAATTGGGCCACATGAAAATAAATTGCAATATAGCTATTGTTTGTGGTTTGCCAAGAAAGGAACTCACCGTGCGACGGATTACAGCAAAAGTTTACATTTGTAAGTAAAACTTTCTTAAAATAATTGTTGAAATTTAAGCTTTCCTAATCATTTATATAGTGTTGGAAGATGCGCAACGGTTGAACAGTGGTGGTCCTTATATTGTCATTTAGTACGGCCAACAGCGCTAAAGGTATTTTTCCTAATCTTGTGTAGAATTATAAACATTTTTGTTTTACAGACATATAGAGAGTTAAGTCTTTTTAAACATGGTATAAAGCCAATGTGGGAGGACCCAGCGAACGCTAAAGGTGGTCAGTGGGTTATTCGCTTACGAAAAAACAAAATAGATCGAGCTTGGGAAAATGTTTGTATGGCTATGTTAGGGGAACAATTCTTAGTTGGTCAAGAAATTTGTGGAGTTGTATTAACAACAAAATATCCTGTAAGATAAAAGTGCTGCTCCAAAAGCATAGTTTGTTTTAGATTGACTTTTTAAAAACCGTTAATAAAATTTGAAAATTATAGGAGGACAGCTTATCTATTTGGAATCGTACAGCCACAGATCAGGTTAGTACTAATCGTATAAGAGATACGTTAAGACGGATATTAAACCTACCTCTTAATACTCCAATGGAGTATAAAACTCACTGTGATAGCCTGAAATATGTAGCAATGTAAGTAAAACGATAGAAAATTTTTGAAAGATTTAGTTGCAAGTACATAGAATTTTTCTAGTATCTAATGCACAATAAAATTTCAGGTCTAAAAATACACTGAAAAGCTGAAATAAAGCAATAATCAACAACTCAGTAGAAAAGTAAATTTTAAAAATTCTGCTACTATTTATGTAAAAATTGGAATCCAAAATAAAAACATTCAAATATTTTAATTAAAACTTTCAATTTAGAGGCTATTTAAATTTTGTATGTATTATCTTTTTTTCTAGAAACGTTAATCTAATATGTACGTAAAATTTTAAAATTCATTAACCGTCTCTTTTTTTAATGCTGAGTTTATACTCCAAATTGTGTTAAGTCAAATAAGTAGACATTCGATATTAAACAATCGCCAATCTAGAATTAAAATATATCTAGAATTCAGATGCATATTTCTTAAATTTTAAACATTTACCGCTGGTGAGATTCCAACTAGAGCATCTGCATGTCCGTAAAATTCTTCTTTTAGAGAAATTACAATAGTTTGTAAATTTGTAGTATCTTCTCTTATAAATGAAGCAACTTTCCCAATATTTGTATTATCCAAAGCAGCATCAATTTCATCGAGAACGAAGAACGGTGCTGGTTGATAACTAATTTCGAAATTATAATCAAAGAGAAGCAAAAGTTAAAAAAATTTTAATATAAAATTTAAGTTAATATTTAATTTATATCGAGACCTGTGGATTGCAAAAAGCAACGCCAAAGCTGCTATCGTTTTTTCCCCACCGCTTAAATTATTCATTGGTTGAAAACGTTTTCCAGGTGCCACACAATTATAATTTATTCCATCTAAATAAGGTTCTTCAGGGTTGTCTGGCCCCAAATAGGCTTGGGCAGCTTCATTTCGAGCCAACGATTTGTAAATACCGTCAATAGCTTCCGCAATATGCGTACAACACCTATTAAATTTGTCTGCTCTTTCATTTTTAACCTTTTCAAATGCTGCTTTAGCTTTTTTTGCCTTTCTTCGAGCATTTTCAAATTCTTCATTTGTGGACGCTATTTTTTCAGTTACCCTATCCAATTTTTGCATTGCCTTTAAATTTGGAGTTTGTATTCTATCTAATGTATCCAATTTATTTTGTAACTCCTTTTGTAAATTATCGTTCATCTTTTTAAATGCGGAGTCATCCTTTAATTTTGTTAAATCTCTAGAAAGTGAGCTATAATCGATTTCAATTCTAAAAAAAACAAAATACAAAAAAAAATTTAATTTTTTTTTACATGTTAAAATTTTTGTGATCGTTACAAATTTTCGCGATCTAATATGACCGAAGTCGTAGTTGTATTTGTTGCTGATTCTGAATCGCCTTGTCTGACTACATCATCAAGACTGCCTTTTATCAAAGGGATTTCTATGCAATCAATCTATAATTATTTAAAAATTAAAAAATAATATTCCACGTTTTTATTATTTTGACAAACCTTTGATTGCATTAATAAATTATGCCTTTCATTTTTTTTTGTTTCAATTTTGGCTTCAATAGCTGATATTTGGCTACCAATCGAATGAATTTCTTTTGCCAAATTTGCTACATCCCGACGAGCTTTTGCTATTTCTTCTTCCATTTCATCAACAGCTTGTTTTTTTACATTTTTCGTTTGTTTTAGTTGTTCAATTTTTTCTTTGTCAACATCAATTTCCTTTCGAAAACGTGCTTCAGCTAATTTATGTCCTTCCAAAGCATCTTCTTCATCTTGAACCGCCCTTTCCCAACGTTCAACATTTTCTAAATAATTATTAAATTAAAAGGTTGTATTTTAAGAATTTCGATAGATAAAGCTATACTTTTAGTATCCTTTTGTCTTTCGAAATCAAGTCGGGTATTTATTGTATCAATTTGTTGTTCAAATTCAGCACGTTTCTTGGCTCTTTCTTGTTGCATTACTAATTCCCGTTCTTCATATTCGCGTATATTTTTTACCCCAATTCTACGACAGAATTTAGCGAACACCTTGTCTTCAACGTTATTCATATTTTCTTTTATTTCTTGTATTTTTTGATCCCGTCTTTCCATGCGCCTTTCAATTTCACTTATTTTTGGCTTAATGAAATTTAAAATTAAATTAATGTAATAGAATATGAACAAATATTTTACCCCGAAGCTATCAAGTTGCTTCTCCAAGTCCGTTACTTGATTCTTGTACTGTTTAATAGATTTTTCAGAGGATTCTAAATCCACTTTGCTATATTTGAGTCTATTTTCTAGACCCTGGAAAGTAAAGATACAAAATTTAAGTCATATTTTCTATTTTTATAAATTTTTACCCACTTTAATTTGACTTTCTACTGTTGCCAATTCACTTTGCTTCCTAGATTTTTTTATCAGTTCCTTAAGTTCTTCATTTAATTGATCTTTTTGCATTTTTAGTTGAGCCATGTGTTTTTCATCCCATCGTTTTGCCTTACGGGCTAGGTCATGACTGCCTCCTGATATAATTCCAGATTTCTGATAAAATGTACCATCCAATGCCAGTGCATCATAGCGACTGCGATCGTATTCATAAGCTACCTTCATAGCATCTTCTGGTGTTTCGCAAACTAGTGCATTATTTGTTGCAAATAAAACAGCCGGTTCAATTTCTGGTGGTTCAAATTTCAACACATCAAAAACAAGTTTGACATTTTTTGGATCAGTGATATTCCTAACAAAAAATATTTTACTTTAAAATTACAATTTAAAAGTGCGGAAGTTTACCTCAATCGCTCTTTGAGTGGTTTTGTTTGAAGATAATCTAAGGGTAAAAATGTTTCAACTTCTAACATTTGCTCTTTTAATATTTGAATGCACCTGCGTGCTGTTTTTTCAGTATCTACAATGATTGCTTCCATATATTTTCCAAGAACTTTTGTTACAGCCACATTGTATCTTTTATGCGTTGGTTGACACATATTTATCATGCGGTCATACTAAAAACAAAAAAAAAAAAACATTTTTATATTGTTTTTACTTGAAATAATGCCTCTGATTACCACTCCTGGTACTTGTTTTTTAAATAACTCCACAACTTCTTGCTTCTTTTTTCTTCGTGAATCTTCATGTTTGTCAATTTTTGCATCTCCTAATTGATCACGAACGTTTTCTAGTTCTCTTTGCTTCTCAGATATTTTCTCCTTTGAAGAACCTACATCAGTTTTTAGTTCGTCTTTGATGCGATTTTGTTCCTCTAAAGCAGCTTCACTAGATCTTATATGGTCTAAAAGCTTTTCTTTTCGTTTCTTAGCTTCTTCCATTTGGGAAGTACATTTTTTAAGTTGCTCTTGTACGGAAGCTTTTCGATTTATTTCGCTGTCTAATAAATCTTGATCAGATTTTTGCTCTCGATTAACTGAATCTAAATTTGATCTGTACTGTGTTGCAGTAGATTCTGCTTCTTGCTTTAAACGATCATATTCTTGAACTAAACCTTCCTCCATGTGAACATTGCTACCTCGTTTTTGTGATTCGTTCTCTAAATCTTCTTCATATTGTCGTTTTAAATTTTCAACGTCAGCTAACTCTTTCTCTAAAGCTCGTATATCTGCTTGATGTGCGTCATCTGCTTTTTTTGCTTGAGCAAGTGTTTTCATTACAGATTGTAACTTTTTTTCACAATGGGATACTTTTTCCTTAGTTTTGATAAAAAGTGGATGCGTTTTACTCATTTCAGATTCCTAAAGTATTAAAAGTTACAGTTCCCTATTTTGAAAAAAAAAAACGAATTTTTGAAAAAAAAAAAAGTGCTTACGATTTCCCTTATTTCCTGTTCAGTTTTCGCAAGATCTCTATTTAATTTTCCAGCTTCTTTTTTTTTATCTTTCAAAACCTCGTCTGCAATTTCTTTTTTCTTTTCAACATTTTGAACTTCAGTTTGCTTTACGACTAAATCATCGTTCAATTTTTGAATGTCTTTTTCTACATGGAATAGTCGAAATAGTTGGTATTCAATTTGTTGTTCATTCTGAAATGTTAATAAAATTTTATTTGGTGAAAAAAAATTGTATCAAGTCCACGTACATATTCTTTTTTGAGACGGGCATATCTATCAGCCTCCATTTTTTCATGCTTAGCTTCTTTTCTTTCTGCAGCAATACCTTTCTTTTTTTGATATGTAAATTGAGTTTCTTCTTCAGCTTGGTTCATTTCTTGCTTCAATCTATTGTAGTCGTCTTTTAAAAGGCCGGATCTGAAATTAAATCAAGTTTAAAAATAAGCATTTACAAACTCAAATTTTTACATCAACTTACCCACTGATTTCTTCGAAAAGAGCAGTTCTTTCTTTTGCACTTTTCATGGCGATGCTTTCCACAGCTCCTTGGAAAACAAGAAAGTTTTTTGCTTTAACGTTAATTCCTAGTTTTTCCAATTCAGCCAAATACGTTGTGTTAGATACTGACTAAAAATTCATATATAAATATATACATAATTAAAAATTTATAAAGATTTTAAAAACACCTCTCCATTAATTCTATATTCAGAAGAAGAACCATAAACGCAACGTTGGAAATCTTTTTGTCTATCTTCTTCAACAATAAATTTGGCTGTAACATAGCAGGATCTGGATACAGGTTTCCCAACAGAAGCTCCGTGGATTAGGTCGTTGAGGCGTTTAACACGAAGACTTGAAGTCCTCTCTCCCATAACAAAACTTATTGCATCCATGAAGTTTGATTTTCCTGCAGCAATTTTATAATCAAATTAATTTAAAATCAGAAAAAAGATTTACCTGAGCCATTGGGTCCAATTACTGCAGTAAATTGCTTTAAAGGACCTACAACTACATGTCCTTTATAAGATTTGAAATTTTCCATTTCAATATACTTGAGAAATGCCTTTGTAGCACTCCCTTGCGGGTTGTATTCTGACATATTTAATATTTTTTAGTTTTATAGCTATAACAAACAGTATAACTATATCAATTCATTTAATTTTCTCGTTTAGTCCAATTTAAAAAAATTTTATACACACATAATAATTTCCCAATTTAATTTAAATAACACCTTCGTTTGTAAATACTAAATGTACTATTGGTAAGTTTTATTGACGTTTAAATTCATTCTCTAATAGTGTTGCCTTATTTTAAAAAGTTCTTTTTTCGTAGCACAATGAGAGGAGCCGCTGTCAGTTTTACCGAAAAGTTGATATTTTTTATAAAATATTCTGATTCCACACTGTTTCACATAATTCAGAAATGAAAAGTTAAAGAAGAGATTTATGCCGTTCGAGGTTTAAATTGCTATTAAAATAACTAAGTCAACTGTTTTTGTTCAACACGTTTTCAACATGTTTTTGCGGAAAGTAAAGTTTTATTTATTAATTTTTTAAAAACGGCACTCATTTTTTCTTTTTTGAATAACTCTTTAAATAAGATTCAAATCCATTCTAAAACAAGAACCATTTTATTTTTCATAAACTTTCGAAGATTTACCTGAGTTTTATTAATTACAATTTAGCAATTTTATATGTTTGCTCAACAAACTGATTATTTACAAACTAAAAAAAATGACTTATCGAGCAGAACTCTTTACTTATTATTATTTACCATTCTCGAGTGAAAATTTTGAAATACATATGTACATAAATGAGCTTGTACGAAATATAATATTTCACTACTGTTAAATTGTACGGAACAAGAATAATTTCTACAAATTTTAGTTTAATGATAGGAATTTATGTTATGTAAAAGTGAGTATATATTGATTGATTGATGGGTGACAAAACTTTTATTTCTATGTATGTACAATCATTTTGATTATTGTGAATTTGAAATAATTTTTATGAATGTGAATATCTTGATCAGAAATTATAAGTTCAAGATTCAATTGATTGAAATCGTCGGGAGCGAGATCAACCGCAACCATTAAATCCGAGTACTCTTAAATCCTATATTATTATAATACATTTTACGGATTTCATTTTTAGAAATATTAAATATTAATTTTTAAAACTTACAAGAAATACATAAAAATACATTTAAAGTGAAACTTATCTAATATATTTTAAATAAATTATTTTACTTTGCAATAGTGGAAAATATCAAAAATTGTAATAGAAAAAAATTGCGCCATTATTTTCTATACTGCCGCATTTTTGTAAATTGTAAATATTAATTACAGAACTACTTCAAAAATTTGTATTATTATATTTTAATAGATATGCTAACAATTTTTGTGAAAATTGGTTTAGATTTTAGAAATTTTTAAATCGTATTTTTGTTGAGAATCAAAAAAAAAAATTGTTCTTTGTTCATTTTGACATTTTGAATTTTTCGTTGTGTAAATAAAACAATAAAACCTTCTTAGTGTGTATAAACATTTGCACACTAATGCAATTTCACGTGGTTTTATATAAAAAAAAAATTATATGGCTCCCGCTTTTTTGTTTACTAAACTATGTATACAATAATATAAAAATACATACAAATGCCGGTTTAAAAATTTGTTTTTAAGTGTGCATAAAGTTTTATACGTGGTGAAAATAATTTTTTTTTTTAATTGGAACGGTTGGAAATAGATACACACTATATGTATTGTATATACACTAAACTAATACATCTATATAAAATATTTTATATTAAAAATATTCACCACTAACGGTAGAAAGAGAAATCAAGATTTTGAAAAATTTAGTATAGATTGTGTACTTTTCTGTGTATGAGGTGTGTTCCGTCTGCTAGAGTAAACTATATTTAGTGAATGGCAATATTAAAAGGAAAAAAACAAAAAAAAAATTTTATTAAAATAATTAATTAAATAAACCAAAAGTTTTTCTAAACAAAAGATTTAAAATAAGGTGTAAATTATTAAAATATGTTTGAATTTGAAGATATGAGCACTGGTTTTCATGATGTTTTTCTTAGCAAGTATGCGGTAAGTGCGCCAAAAAAAAAATTTATTTTTCATAATAATTATGTATCTAGGGGTCTCCCTGAGTACATTACGGAAAAAAATATGTAAAATAAACTGAAAATATGTATACATGCATGAAAATAATATGTGTGTGTGTACATACTATATATTAAAAAAAAATTAAATATGGTGATGTTTTGTAGTGTACATATTAAAACAAAATAGTGAAATTTTTGCCGGGTAATATTAAATTTTTTGCAAAGAATATTTTCTATATACATACATACATATATAGTTTTATATTTTTATTTTATTCAAAATAATTTTATATATTTATGTATGTATGTATGTAGCTATGTCCATATAAACTTACATTCGTAAATAGAATTTCAAACTAATAGAAAATTGAATTAAATATAATGATTGCATAGCTTAGATATTAGATTTGGAACTTAAAAAGGTATCCATGCCATATACACATTTATACGAAATGTATGTACAAATATACATAATATGTATATGTACACACCATTTCAATAGAATGTAAAAAAATATACAGTGGAAAATTCCCGCTTTTTAAATTTTATTTTCTTATTTTTTACTTCTATTTAAGAAGGTTTCACACGATATTATTATTTAGCTAGTAGCTAAATACTGACTATTCGAGGTAAAGGGGAAACTGTGTTTTGAACATATTTTTTATGTCAAAAATAATTTGTAAATTTTTAACAAGGAATTTTTCTGCAATGGTACGAGTATAAATGTAAATAATATTTATTCATGACCATAAATAAATAAATCTGTTCAGATTTGTTGCAAAAGATTAGATAATAATGAATTTTTGGGACAACTATTTTCTGTATGAAGATACATAGATATTTATTGGTATATATTACTTATGTCATTTTATGATATCGACTTGAAACTTATACATTCCAAATTTGTTAGAAAGTTGAACTACAAAATTATTCTTATGAAATTTTTTACATCTTTTGGTCTGCAAGAAATGTCGCCTTCAATAATGTTACATTGCCGTAGTGTATCATAAAAATTTGATTATTATATTGTATAATTAAGTAGTTCCCCACCTAAGTATGGTATGTATGTTCTGAAATAATAACATAAATTTTTTCTATCTACTACATACTTACTAAAGGTACTTAGAATTCGACAATTAAGTCCACGAATGTAATTTAAAAAGAATGGATGGTGTACGGCACTGGGTAATAATATTTTAAAAGTAATTTATATGTTATTTTTACCTACTTTTTAAATGTACAACATTATATACATATGTATATACATATATTTATGTAATTATTTAATTTCTTTAGTTCTTGTAATTTTTTTTGTCTTTTTTTAAAGAACTTTTGATATTTTTCGATTCAAATATGAGACACGAAATTTACATTTTAAAATGTAACTAAAACTAAATGTAACAGATCGGAAAATAATTCAATGTAAAATATGAATGTATGTATTGTATCTCAAATTCTTAAATTTAATGCATATAGCCATAGCCACATACTATATTTATAAACATTTGCTAGAAATATACGAACGGAACTTTAGGAAATGGCTCTTTGTAAAAATTTCATGTATACACATATGTATATATAAATATGTTTAACCATATTTCTATTATATACATATTAAAATATTTATTGCAGATACAAAACATATATATAAGAATATTATGTACATATTTATGTATGATTGTATGTAATACTTTAATTTTTCTTTTTAGTATAGTTTTTTTTTTTTTTTGTTTTATTTTAAAAATTTTGAATTTGCGCAAAAATATCCAATACCCACATATATTATTTTGTTATGTTCATGGATGTATGTATATTGTGTTATATACTTATAATATATGTATAATATGTATCTATATACGCATACATACTATATAATTTTTAGTAAAATAATAAATATTATTGTATATAAAAAAAAAGTATAGAAAAGATAAGAAAACAAAACAAAAAGAAGTGCAAAGAGAGAGGCACCTTATAAGTGTATGTATGTATGTATATAAAACGAAAGAAATGGATTATGTACAAAAATTTTGTAGGTCTTTGACATTTCTTACATAAATTTTAGTAGTTTGTTTTTATTTTTGCTTTTATTATTGTGTTACTTTTTTTTTTTTTATTTACCATAATTGCGCGAAAATTATATATAAAACATGACATTTTTTTTTCGTTGTTTTTTTTTTTATTGTTTGTTTCTAAAATTAGATCTCAAAATAGTAAAAATCTAATAGGTAGGTAATAATGTATAAGAATATTTTTAATATTGCCTGTTTGAATCCTATATACATGTGTATATACATACGTATGTACTTATGTCGATGTAAATAAATATATGGTTTAAAAATAGGAAACAAAAATAATATCGGAAAATTTACAAAAGAAATTTTTTTTATTAAATTTTAAAAATTTTTAATTTTAATTCTTTAAGTACAGAAAAAAAAAATCATTTTTGTCAAATTTAATTTTAGAAAAAATGTGGCGATGACTGCAAGACATTGCACTTTTTATTTTGTTATTTTATTTATTATGTTTTTTTTTATTCAAGGTTGCGACAGATTTTTCTTATTTTTTTTTTTGTTATTTATTTATTTTTTAGTTTGTTTATAAACAGTACATTTTTTGTTTATTTTTGTTTTTATTCTTTGTCAATTCAAAAACATAGCTGTTGTTGTTTATGTATATAAATACACATATTTATTATTGTCAGTTCTGGATTCCGTTTAATGAAAGCGAAATCATCATCAGATATATAATTAAATTGTAGGCATAATATGAGCAGAAATCACATGCCTACATACTTATGGCTATAGGTACCTACTTGTTATTATATTTTTTTTTGTTCCATAAAATGTAAATATTAATTTTTGTGTAATGGGTAATGAATTTTTAATTATTTATGAAACTCATATGCACATTATTCTTACATACATACATACGTTCTTTAATATTTTGAATGCATTTCAATTAAAAAGTGCATGTAAAATCAAAAACACTTTCTCGGGAATGAAAAATTTACCAATGGAAGATTAAATTTCGTTTCTTAATGACAAAATTAGCGCCACATATGTTAGAGTCTCAATGTGTAGAAAATTTTCACGTGAAATAATTAAAACAAAAGAATAATTTTACTTTCTTTCAAAATACCAAAAACTCAAGAAATTCTTAGAAGATTCACCACAGTATGCCTGTTTTGTAAAAAAAATAAAATAAAAGGATAATTACTTGGTGCTTATTTTATGGCAGTGTACTTATAAAAGTGGCTGGCCTGGCTATATTTTATGGCCTGGCCTCAAGGGATAAAAAAAAATCTTTATTTTATTTAGGTATAAATTTGCCAATATTTTAAAATGTGAAAAAATTTATTACCCGCAAAATATATTATGTTTAAATATTTCAAATTTTGAATTTTAATAGAATAATGTTAAGGAGACAGAATTATTAATAATTCGGTTATAAATCCCAAAAAAAAAAACACTTAATTTACAAACCATATTTATGATGACTACAAGATTACGATTTTCAAAAGTTCCAGTAGATTGAAATTGTTCCGGACGAAATTATTCATTTGTTTTTGTTTCAATTGAATAAAAAACGTATAAAAAGAAATGAACTTTTTTTTTTAAGGTTCAAATACAGTTTAAAATTGAAAATTTGGATCTTATGATGTAAGTGCAATTTTGATAGATAATGTATTGGTAAAACAAGGGTAAATTTTATATTTCCTTTTCTTTTATAACTTGAATTCGAATACCGCTTGTATTACCAACTTTCTTTCAAAAATTGAATACATTAGTCGATAGTAAGACTTTTAAGGGAATATTTTAACGGATTGCAAAGGTACTTGAAATGTCTTATGGGTTAAATATCACCATTCTGTTTTATCCAAAATTTTAAATTCAAATCTGTGAATGGAAATATAAAAACTAAAAAGAAAAGAATTGAAAATCCAATCAAAAATGTGAGAACTTTAATTTAGAAACTTTCTAGTTACAATATGATAAATAGAATATATTGTATGAGACTTTTATATTCAAGGATTTAATTTAAGTTTTTGAACTTTTGTGAATCTTTTTCTATTAACAATGCAATTACAAAAGAAACAAAAGAAAGCTTCCAAATTAAGAATTCACTTTGATGTTCTTGCCTTAGAGAACATCAAAAATTTTGTTGCTATTCTTCAAAGAAACATATTCGCTCTATGTTTTCTCTTTTAATTTTCTGGAGTATCTACTAGGCTATTACCCATTTTATGTTTTTTTTTTCATTAAATCAAAGAAAATCTAATTTCTCTATAAACTACTGGATATGTACGTATGTATGTATGTAATCACAAATGTAGAAAATATTTTTATTTTGGCGCTTTTGTAATTTTACGATCATAAGAAAAGTTTTCATACCTATTGGATTTTGAAAATTTATTTATGTGTGCATGTACATACGTTGTGTATGCACATAATTATTTTTGCATTATTAAAATCAACTAACTGTACATTTGTAAACATTCAAATTAAAAAAGAAAATATTAAATAATTTTTAAAACACGATTTTTTGTTATTGTATTTCATTTTTGAAGCTTAAGTTCCATCCAGGTGCTTTTTATTTTTTAAAATATTTTTAGCATTTTCCCCTGTTTATTTTTATTATATTTTTTGTTACCCTTTGAATAAAAATAAAAAGAAACATTTTTTACTTGGTAGGCAAAAAAAAAACATTGGTAGGTAACAGAATAATTTCCACTATTTATCATCATAATTTTTCCTCTTCTTCTTTTTTATTTTTTTTATTTTATATTTAATTTTTCTAATGGTAAGTTGGCAGACTTGACTGTTATATTAATAAATATTTTACACGTGAGGTGAAAAATTATTCTAAAATATAAAAGTATGTATTTATGTACCTATGTATGTACATAATAAGTATGTATAAATTTTTCTATTTGTACGTTTATATTGTATCTTTATTTTTTGTTTTTCATTATTTTCTTATTAATTTTCCTTGAACTTGATGTTAAAAGTCATTCAACTTTCAATGAAAATTATTTTTCTAAGGTTGGTTAAACAGATAAAAAAAATAATAATAATTTTCTGTATATATACATACATATGTATGTATGCATATATAAATAAAAAACACGAAAATTAAAATTAAAGAATAGTAACAAAGAAACTCTTCTTCATTTTGAGAACATCATCATTCATTTATATGTATGTACATAAGAATTTCATTATTTGAAAAAAGAAAATTTAAAAATTTTTTTTCTAGTTTCGCATAGATTAGAAATTGTTCGCATATAAATTTTGTTTTTAATTAAATTTCTCATATACCTAATATATGTACATACACAATAAACATAATATTCATGCAGAATTTTACTTTAAATATATACATACATTTGTGTAAATATACATATCTGTTATATAAAACAAAGAGCTTTACAAAATACATTTGGATTTAAACTAAAATTTACCGGCTTTTTTTTTTTATTATACTGAGCAACTATAGGTAATACAAAAATACATATTGTATATTTTTAGTTTTTATGATCAAAAGTTCGTAAGAATTTGCTTTTTTATAAGTAACTGTGTAAAGATGAAAAAAATATTTACATATCATTCTTATTAAATATCGTTACTTTCGAGTATTTTATCGAGTAATTTACTCAAACAGATTTTTCATTTAGTTACATACATTACAGATCACAATTTGTACTTCAATCGTTTTAAACATTTTAAATTACTTTGATATTTCAGAAATATAGAAAATAGAATCGGAGATGTTATTCAAGTGAATAATATGTAGGTATGCATTTTACGAAAATCGGAAATTTTAAATTAAAAGTACTTTTGGATTTTTTTTTTGTTTTTTACTTTTTGAAAAATTAGAAAATTCCAAATAATTTAAAAACATAATGAGACCTTTTTGTGCTGCTCGCTAAACGATCAAAATATTTATTTGAAAAAATCAATAAATTTATTGAGCGGTCCCTAATTCAAAACATTAAACAGAAAACAAAATATAAAACAAATAGAAGATAATTTTTCCAAAATTTAAAATTCTACATATTTCTGCTTACGGACTATTTACTTAGTTGATTTAGAAGAAATTTAATAGATTTGACAAGAATTTGATTTTTTTAGAAACAAGAATTTTGATTTTTTGTTAGAATTTTGACAGTTTTTTTCCATTCCATTTAGAAGGAGAAAATGGTAAAGAATTTTAACGGTACTTCTTACTTTTAATTTTATACTGTTATAAAAATCCGCGAATATTATTAATATTACCAAACAAATTAAAAAATTTCATTTAAAAAGAAATATACATATAAATTTTTAAACATATGAATGCTAAATAAAAAGTAACAAAAATATTTACTTAAGTACTTTTTGTAATTTTATTAATTATAATTGATTTTTCATCATTTTGTATGAGTAACTAAATTAAACTTATAATATTGTTACTTTTTTCATCTATCAAAACATAACGAGTATTTATTTTTGTATGAACTTACATCCATACATACATATAATATGTATATATTTATGAATATTTATGATATATGTATGTAACATTTGAATTAAATATTTGAATACATTATTATCTTCCTACATAAGTATTTATAAATATGCATATGTGTAAAGCTTTTATGTATACATATGTACATTTGAAATTTCTCAAAATAATAATAATCGTGGAGAGAAAAGAAATCGATACAATCAGATTCAGCTACCAACATTTCACATCGCTTTTCATTTTAATAAATATGTACATATGTAAGTATATAAATTCAACTTGGTTATGATGTTATGAATATGTATGTATATATGTATATGAATGTATGTATATTTTTTTTGATACGATTAGAACAAAAGCTACATATGAATATATGTACTTATATATTTATGTATGTATGTATGTTCATATTGTATAGTATTATCGACTCAAGTAATATTGTAATGTAAATATTACAAACTTATTACCTACACATTAAATTTCAGTGCAATATCAAAGCATATACACATATTTTATACATACATATGTACATATTTATGATAAATGCAGCTTTATTATTAGATTAATATTTTATATGCATACATACATACATATGCATATTGTGTAAATATGTACATCATAATATTTAAAATATTTTTGAATTTATATAATCTTATAAGTAAAAGTATATGGACATGTGTATGTACATACATTAATGCATATACATACTTATATACATAATGTAGGTATGTATGTACAATAAATGTAAAATGGAAAATATCTCGAAGTTCTTATTGTAAAAATTTCTTTCTAAAAATAAAATTAAAATGTTTAAATTGTAACTTTTTATTATGTAACAACCTCTTAAATATTTCAAAGTATGAATAAAAATAAAATTACATTAAAAATTAAGAATTAATATCCTTTTAAATTAATTTTTAAAAATTCATTAGTAAATTAGTACATACAAAAATAAAAAAGAAATATGGTTGCTTTAATTATCCTTTTAGAAAAACATCGAATTTTTACATTTTGGCGCGACTGTACCTTTTTATCTTTTTTTTTTTTTATGATTTTTGTATTTATATTTCTAAATTGCATATGTATGGGTTTGTGTGTGAAAACATATTATATTCATTGTTCTTTTGCTATTAAGAATGGTGAATTTAGAGAAATTCAAAATTAGGTGTACATAATTTTTGTGTTGAGTTTAGTCGTATCTTTAGAAGAAGAAAAAAATACATATGTATGAATGTATGCATACATAAAAAAAACCTAAATCGTATACCTAAAAATATAAAAGCAATTTTAGAAATAAAAATAAAAGAAAATTCGTTGTAAATTTATGTTTGTATTGTTATTAGTAGAGAGAATTCATTTTATTTTTAAAATCCAGTTTTTTTTTTTCGTTATGTGGGTACTTACTGTGGGAGAGAAAAATAAATGAACAGCAATTTTTTATGTAGATGAATGATTAAAAAAAAACAATATTTCAAAAAATTTGCAATGGCTGATTTTGTTCGATTTTCCATATTTTTTTTTTGCCAATTTTGCATTTATTTTATTACAAGCTTCACGAAAAAATTATGTTAAATTTTATTTTCTTTTTCTGTGGTATTTGTTCAATAGATAAAATATTGGCAAGAAAATTTTTAGAACTACGTACTTAAATTTGTTTACTAATTATATTTTCGTATTGAATTTGAGCCTCTCGGTAAAAGGTCAAGCCATTGTACAATCGGTCGAATAGATTAAATTTCTATATATTTCTATATAGCCTATAAATGCGTAAAAACATTGCATATGTTTCTACATACAATACTTCTATTTTCGAATTTATCTTTAAAATAAATCTTTAAAATTATAGGGCTGCCTAGAGAATAACCCAAAACAAAAAACAAAATGAATAAATAAAAAGTGGTTAACTTAGAAAAGAAATATTTTTTATTTTACACTCTAATCGTTTTATGCATTACTCAGGATTAATATATTAAAAATATTGAAGAAAAAGCAGAGAGCCGACATAAAGAACAATTTTTTTACCCCTTGTTATAATTATATTAAAAACGGCATATAACAGAACAGAATAAATTATTTCTCATGAAGCAGGGGGGAATTTTCTGTTAAAATATTGTAGCAATGGCACTAAACCAACTCATGCGCATGCGTTTTTTTTTTATTTTAAAGAAGGGTATATATGTGGTAAAATTAAATGAAAAAAATGTATATTATTTGAGGGAAGGAGAGATGGAAGAAAAAAATCAATACTTGGAAAGAAGTTATTCACCATATGGAGAAATATTTAAAAATGAAAAATAAAATACATATTTATTTTGTTTCTTGCAACTTCCTTTAAAAAAGTTTTTTTTTGTTCGTCAACATTTTTATTCTCTTGTTTCTTTAGATTTTGTAATAAGAGTCCCATAATCTGTACATAATATTATGTTGATAAGCTTGAGCGGGAAAAAATCGATGAATGAAGTTATATAAATATGTATTATATATATTATCAAAATATATATGGGTGCATATCTATCAAAAAATAAATATAGTACTTGAATAATATGTTATCAATATCACCTTCATATTTTATATGTATATACATACCTACTTATACAATCCACTCAAAATCCAAAAAAAGTAACTACAAAATACTAAAGTAGGCACCACGAAGTAAATTCAAGTTGCCCAATGTATTTTTTTTTTTATAGTTCTTTCACATGTATTCAATACAATTCATACATTTATGTCTGTATAAATATATGTACATCATGTCCGTAGAAATCCGTGAGTTTATTAAACAGATAGACAAAAGACAAAATAAAATGCAATAAGATCGCTAAACCAAAATATGTAAAGAAATATCAATTCTCCAATCTTTTCAACATGTGTTTTTTGAATTTTTAGTTTCATATTCTTACATGACATATTCTTATATGTATATAAACATATATGTTAGTGATATATGTATGTACATATGTATATGAATATAAATAGTTAAGTTATGGAAAATATCAGGAGAGAAAAATCCAAAGATTAGCCAAATATTTAATATGTATATAAGTAAGTGTACATAACAATGTAATTTTGTAAACATTATTTTCAACATATTTTTATATTACATACTTATATGCTTTTACTTTCATTATGTAATTTTTATATTATTTTTAACCTTTTTAATATTATTATTTTGTTTTGAATAGGATTCATCGGGTCCCATACTTGATTTGTATATATCCGATTCTATGCAAGACATGTTGGATATTGACATTAGATCAGAAGTAGCAACTGTAGTGGGAGGCACAAACGAGTTTAGTTCGTTAGTAAATGATCTGCCATCATTAGAGCTGGATTCAAATTCACATGATGGAGAAGCATCGTGGCTTGGCGGGCCAAAATGGTCAGCTCCAAATGATTATTATGCAGATGTTGGAGCATGTGTAAATCCGAATTCAGTTATGCCCATAATAACATCTTCAATATTAAATTCACAAAAATGTCAAATAAATTTGAATACGAATAATTATAAACAAAATTTAACATCACCACCACCAAGTCCCAAGGAAAACAAGAGTCATTTAACATTTTCACCAAATCAAATAAAGGTACCTTCTTCAGCTCATGATATTATTCGTAAGCCATCATCACTTGCTTTACCGAATGAATTGGATTCAGTAAAAAAGGATCTACGCAATTTAAATGGAAATGAAAGCGATGGAAAAAGTATATTGAAAACAGAAAATAAAATGAATAATGGCAATAACATTACAATAGGGAAAACTTATAGTAGTAATAATATGAATAATAATATTAACAATAACATAAATAATAACATTAATAATAATAGTAATAATAACAATAATAATAACACTAGATTAACAAATCATCATATTAACACAAATTCTATACTACCAGGTGCCGGTAAGTTTTTTTTTATTAATATGTTCTGTTTAAGTCGAAATTCTTATATACAAACTTTATGCAATGTTTTAGGCAATACTATCAAATTGGCACCCGGAATAGGAGGTTTAACTTTTGCCAGCAATTTCGCTTATACAAAACTGAAGCAGCAAAATATAAATAGTAGCAATAATACTCAAATTAAGCTAAATAGTTCTCAATCGATAACATCACTTAATACAAATAATATAAAACGTGATCGTGAAACATCTAGTCCTCTGCAAAGCCAGAATTTTAACACGATTACGAATGGTAATTACACAACATCTAATAACCAGCAGCAAATTCATATTCAACAAAGTGGAAAAATTATATCAAGAAATATATTAGTCCAAAGTAAAAATTTATCAGCTATAAATAGTAACAGTAATTATGTAAGCTCTCCAGTTGGATCACCACAAGCAACTAATCAAGTAAATAATAACACATCAACAAACAAAAGCAGCAAATCCAAGCAGCCAGTTGTTGTGAGCGAATTTCCAAAACCAGCGTACTCATATTCTTGTTTGATTGCTATGGCATTGAAAAATTCCAGAAGTGGATCATTACCCGTATCAGAAATCTATAGTTTCATGTGTGAACATTTTCCATATTTTAAAACAGCACCAAATGGTTGGAAAAACAGTGTCAGACACAATTTATCCTTAAATAAATGTTTTGAAAAAATTGAGAAACCAGCTACAAATGGTGGCCAGCGCAAAGGATGTTTATGGGCCATGAATCCCTCAAAAATCACAAAAATGGACGAGGAAGTGCAAAAATGGTCGCGTAAAGATCCAATGGCCATACGTAAAGCAATGGTATATCCCGAAAATTTGGAAGCTCTAGAACGAGGCGAAATGAAACACGGCAGCACTGGAGATAGCGATGTTGAAAACGACGGCCAATCAGATGTCGACGAAGGAAGTGATATGGAAGCCGAAAATGACATTGATGATGTTTTGATAGAAACACCAGAATCCATGGAAGAGGAAGATGATGAACAAAACCAGCAACACATTCAGTTACATGATAGAGATTTTGATATTGAGGTACATTTTTGCATCCAGTTTTTTTTTTGTTGTTTTTCATACTTAAATATGAATATGTATTTTATTATACTTTATTGTAGGTGCAAGATATTTATGATGCTATAGATTTGGAAGATGATAAGGAATCGCTTCACTTAACCTTACGGCAAAATGATTTGCTTGAGTATACCACAAATGAATATCCATCACCGAAGAGAACCAAAGTTGATGTAAATTATACTGTGCAAAATATTGATTCAATTAAAACTATATCTTCGTCACCATCCTCGCGAAATCATCAACAAATAATTACCACTCAACAGCATTTAAGTGTACAGCATAATAGGCGAAAAACTCAACTCATAAACAGAGTAGCATAGTATTAAAATTGAACATGCAAATATTTAAAAATATTTAAAATATATATAATAGATTTTAACTTAATATATTTAATTTTAATAAAAAAAATACATACGTAGTACTTTAAAATATTCAATAAATATAGATATAAGTAATTCATTATTATTTAAGATAGCCGAAAAAAATTCGATTGCATATGGAAAGTCTTCTTTTTTAGCAGCATTTTAAGTTCATAATGTTATACGATTTTTCTTAGACTTTGTTTTTGAAAAATTCATATAATTAGACAAAAAAACTTATTTTGAAACTGAAATTCAGTTTTTTAAGTTAAATACGAGGGCTGCTAAAAATTTTCATTCAAGTTCATACTTTTTATTTTAAGTATTTATAAAATTCCAAAAATAAAAAAAAAACTTTAGATTATGTTTAGTTTTATTTTAATCTAAAAAAATTCACTTAATTTTAACAAGTGATTTATAAAGTACAAAAAATGTAATTCGTTGTAATTTTGTCAATAAATTAATTTTTAATTTGTACATATTTTTTTTTTGGTGTGCTATAAGTAGGGTGACCATCGTTGCAAAATATAGTTTTTTTTAAATTATTAAAATTTACTGATTCTTAGAGCTTTCCTGTAAAAAAAGTATTTTTTAATTAGCTGGTTTTCGGTAAATTTTTCGTTGAAGTATGGAAATGTATGGTCATCCAAGGTTCACCTTGGAATTTAATTCTATACAGTGAGTGCTTTGCTAAACTTTATTAAAAAATATAGATAGTTCTTGGTTGTATCTGGGACGTTTTTTTGTTATATTTTTCAATAATTTATAGGTTTCGAACAAGTGTGTATGTATAAATTTCTAAATTTTATATTGTTTCTGTATTAATTTTTTTGTTTGATAGTGGACATGAAAATTTAAGATCAAAGGAATTTACAGCCGAAAGTTCTTATTTGCTAGAATAATTTTATAAGTTAGTGATTTCAGCCCATGTGGTAGAAGCAAAAATGCAATTAAGATTATTTCGATTATTGTTTTAAACTAAAAAAATATCAGTTTTTTTTTTTTAAAATGGTCACTCTAGTTGTACGCATATCAGCGAATGTTTCGCTCTACGATTTAAGAAAAATAAAAAAAAAAATTATAAAAAAAAATTAGTGATTTCTCACTTTACGGACAATGCCTAACCTTGACTATGAATCAAATACGATTCCCGTAACTTTTTCCGTTTCAGATCAAATAAACAATTTGTATTTACGTACATATATTCAAATCCAATTTGCGAATATCTTTTCTGGTTTAAAATTGATTTCAATTATGTATTAAAAAGACTACTTATATTCTATTAAGAGTAATGTTCATTGCACTTTATTTTTTTAAACAGTAAATGAAAAAGTTTGTTGTTTAGATTGTTTAATCTTAAACTTATTTTACCCCGTGTAGAGGTCTGTTCTGTAGAATATAATATTCGCAAATTAAAAAGTTTCCAAAATAATCACATTATATCCGAGATATCAAATGCAATTTATGGCTATAATAAATTAAATTTTTTTAAAATTATTCTTATAGTTCATCTTTACAGAAATTATTAATTATTAATAAAATTATATTTAAATCCGTAAATGTGAGTTTTTCGCTGAATGTTTGCAATATGTTAATTATATTAAATCATTATATTGAAGCAAATATTATATGAAAATGTTTCAATTGTATATAGTTTTCCTTCTAAAATAAAAAGTTAAAGCCATAAAAATTATAATACAAAATGCAATTATTGTATATAATTTAAAAAGGTGTAACTTTTAATTTTTAGATATAGGCCAGTAGAAAATCATTTTACAAAGTATAACTTTTAACAATAATCAATATTGCATTTATACGTACCCTACTTGAAATAAATTATTAAAATAATATAAATGAAATATGTACAAATAACATTTTTTGTCAATTTAAAATTATGGAAATAATAATTTTATGAAACTATTTAGAGCCATTTTGCATTTATTGCTTTTGGTTGTATTTAGATTTCTTAAGCATTTAATTAAAATTTTTTCTGGTTTTATAATAATTTTAATAATTTTTTTTAATTAAAAATACGTATAATTTGCAAATAAAACAAAATTAAATTACGTGATTATACACTAAAATAACTTTTATGAATTTTCTGTTTATTAATATTTCGACATTAATAAAGCCTAATTGGAAGCTAAAATATTTTATTTTAGTATTAACAAGTCAAATAAAACAGTATTTGCAATTTTTGAATTGCTTTAAAAAGTTTAAAAAAAAAAAGTCACAATAACATTACTATATATTTAGTCAGTTAAAGATAATTGTAGCCATAATACTATACTAATAACAAATTCAATCAGTTAATTAGTTGCTTGTACAAACTATTAAATTTGACCGAATTTTCAGATTAAAAAAATTCGCTTAATTTTAATAATTGGTACATTTATATATTAATACAAAATATATAATATGCAGAAGAATTGTATGTATACCATATTGTTTTTTGTCAAGTGGTTCACTTCGTAAAAATTTCAAATGAAATTTTTGCGATAAATTAAATTATGTTCAATTTAATTTGTAAATATATAAATGCATTTAAATAAAAATATTAAGAATTTAGTTTCTTAAGTATTTTTATGACTTAGTAACACAAAAAAATCCAAAAATTTTTGTAAATTAAATAATTTTGTAAGCAAATTTTATGATTGTTTTGTGTTTACATAACACTATGCAGAAATCTATTGAAGAATATGATAGACTAATTTTTTTTGTTACTTTGTAAGATAAACTAATTTTTAACTATTCAAAAATGTAACGAAACGTTGGCAACTAAATTTTTCCAATTAATTTATATATTTAGAGTTAGAGAAGGTATTTTCGGTAATTCGGATATGCAATAAAATTTCTAACATTTTAAAAATAGTTTTTTGCATCATTACAGATCTACAGGTGCTAACTATTTCTATTACTCATTACTATCAGCAGGTGCTTACTTTTTCAGATTTTTATTATTTGTTCATCTTTCTAATGTAATCGAATTGAAGATTTTGTAATTTTAATTGATATTTTAATTTTCAAATAGTATGTGTATTAAATTTTTCTATCATATTCTCGGAAATTAACCACTTTGGCAAATTACAGAACTATAAAAAGATGTGGAATATAAATTATTTTTTTGTAATACTAATATGTATAATATTTTGTATATAAAAAAGTTTTTATAACGCAATAATAAAGCGGGATATATATATGTAATTCCGAATCTATGGCTTTATTATAAAACAAAGGACGGTAATCTAAAATATTTCATTTTATTTTTATTTTAATTTTTTATTTTAATTTGTAATATTTTTTTTTTAAAATAAAAACAAAAAATAATTAAATGATGGGTCATGGTTGAAATAAAATTTTCACATTTGTTTTTGAGAAATTTTTTTTTTCAAAATATATGTACACAGAACAAATCCATTTTTGATTACCCAAATATAATATTTTATATTATATTTTAATATTATCATGTAATGAAAGCTTAAAAAATTAAATCTAAACATACATTTACTCTTCGGTCATATTATATTTATATGTACATAATAAAATTTCAATAAGAGAAACACTTTATATATAATAAAATTCTAGTAAAAAATGAAAAACATTTTAGAATGAAGTTACCCTATTAAGGTAAACAAAATTCACTCCCATTCTTTATTGTATATAATACATACACTTTAACCGTAAAAAAAAAATCAAGGATCCTATCAAGGATCATATTAACCGATCCTATTGAAAATAATTACATATATTTTTTTCGTTTATTTTAAGACAAAAGAAACGTTCTTAAGCACGTTTTTATCCTTAAAATTAATGTGTATGTATAGTATAAATGGAAATTAAAGTAAAAATTATCTTGCCTACAATATAATAATATATTTTTTTACTTATTGCGGTGTGTATGTGCGATCTCCTGTTACGAGTGATTTTTCTCTTCCATTTTAAAAACATTAATAAAAACAAAAAAAAAAAAAGAATCTCAAAACGTAAAAACAATAATTTTTTTTTTTAATTTTTTCATATGTTCATGTAAAACTGGGAGGAAAATATAAAAGAGTTGATAATTGAAACTTTTTAAAAACTTTAAAATTTGTAGTTTTAACAAATATTTTACCCAACTTAGCAAAAGTAAATATAAATATTAATAAAACCAATAAAACACCAATTTCTTTCAAAAAAAAAAAAAAAGAAAAAATTTTAACCTTAAATAATTTGTGTAGATAACAAACAATAAAATATACAATATATTTCGAATGTTATATAAAAAACTTATAATATTTGAAAACAGTACAAATAAATTTTTATTTTAACATGAAAGATGCAATTTTTTTATTATATAAGACATGACAAAGCAGTAATAACAAAATCTCTTAATAAAACAAAATCAGCCACACATCATAAATTTTTTTAGATATAAGGAAATTTGTAATACATTCTTTTTTGTATAAAAAAAAAAAATATATTAAATAAAAAAAATATTTTCCATCAATTTTTTTTTTTATATTCAACATTTAATTTATTTATTTAGAAAAAAATTGCTAATTTCACCATAAATAAAACTTTCGAATTTTTTTTTTCTTATCTTAAATTGTTCTTTTATCAAATAATCATTTTGATTTTAAAAAAATATCGGGGAGTGATCGTGTATCTCGCTATTCTACTCTCCAAGTGACTAGAAGGTGAATGAAATATCATACATTTTGTATAATGTAATTTTCAAGTGAAAAGAATTTTACCGTATTGCGTATCTCGTTTTTTCTAAAATGTATACAAAATTTAATAATTATTTATTCACTTTTTTTGAAAGTGATAGGTTCAGTAGATAATTTGAGAAAGAATGAAAAAATCAATTTGAAAAAATTGAAGCAATGTTATTGGAAAATATGAATGGATATGAAATATCCATAAGAAAAGCGGAGAATTCTGATTTGAATGTAAATAAAAAGTGAGATTAAAAAGCGAGATACATGATAAGCCTAATCATCTTGCTATTCAGATTCAACACTACCATAAATATTCCTTAAAAAATTTTGTGGATGGATTGTAACAAAAATCGATACTTTACGTAATCAAATAAATTATTTCAATGTCTTCTTAAAAGGGAGCAAGCTTGTACGTTTTTAACAATTTTCTGAAATTTTTTTTTTTTTCAAAAACTTATATCTATAAATATATTAATGATTAGTAAAAAATTAATCAGTTAAAATTATATTATTGAAATAATATAATTTCAAAATTTTGTTAAGCATGTTTAATAAAACTTTTTAAAATTTTCATGATAGATGTAGGGTAAACGTAGAAAAACATGCGTTTAAATTATGAATTTTCCAAAATTAGGTTAAAATTCAAGAAATTTCAAATTATATGATTTAAAATTAAATTTTAAATATTAATTGATTTGTAATTTTCTTATAAAATTTTAAATTGAATATATATAAGAGAAAACGTCAACCTAACCAAACCAAAACAAAATTTTATTC